TACCGCAGTCAGATCTTTATCCCGGGCTCCCTCGAATACCCTTCTTAGACCAAGAATATGGCTAGTTGTTGACCTACTCTCCCTAAATCCGTTCTGATTGATCCTTAAGATGTCTTCCATGGCAGGCTTGATCCTGTTCAGTATCATCTTATTGAGAGTCTTACTCACTATAGCTGATGTCAGTGCAATACCTCTATAGTTATCTACTTTGGTCAAATTCCCTTTTTTTTAGAACAGGCACGATGTTTAAGTGCTTCCATTGGTCAGGGACATCACCATTAACTAACCTCGCCAGAATGGAACAAATAAACCATGTTTACAATGAGATAACATCACGTGATCGAATCACGTGTTTTTATAACATAGCTAGAGATTAATGGGTAAGGAGACTGTTTTTCATGTGTGTGGAGTGACGGAGCATGACTACGGTATTTAAAGGACGGTCCTGTGGTCCGTACCTCACGTTTGATCCAGTTCAGCCTTAGTTCAGCACAATGGCGAGACTTTTCGTTTTTCTAGTGGCTATCGTAGCCGTCCTTGGACTCGTTGAAGGAGCAAAAGGAGACAAAAAGAGAAGAAGAGCTGCAGCGAAATGCGCCAAGAACGTCTTGACGTTTGAGTCGTGTCTAAAAGAGGGATACAAATCAACAGCAGGGTGTATCTCTGGAGATGGGGAACTTAATAAAAAGGATATGAGGAAATGCAGAAGGATCGAGAAACAGTTAAAGAAATGTGACTACTCTTGCGACAAAAAAGTTGAACCAGAGCCAGAGCCGGAACCACAACCAGAACCGCATCCAGAACCACAACCAGAACCACAGCCAGAACCACAGCCAGAACCACAACCAGAACCACAACCAGAACCACAACCAGAACCACTCCCAGACAGTAGTTGCAAAAGAGACAACTTTGACTTCGGGGGAGCAGACCTCAAAAGCTTTAGATCAGAAAGCTTCGAGGACTGTGCTAGCCACTGCCGAGACACAGCAGACTGTCAGTCCTTCACCCTCAAGAAATCTGACAACTACTGCTGGCTAAAGAACAAGCGAGGAGGACAGACTGGACCCTCACCCGCTGATGATTTAATCAGTATGAACATCGACTGTGCTCCAAAACCAGGCTTTGTAGCTTCCGACAGATCATGTGCCATGGACGGTTTTGACTTCGGGGGTGCAGATTTGAGGAGCTTCAGAGCTGAGAGCTATGAGGTCTGTGCCATAGCGTGTAGTGATGCAGCTGATTGCCAATCATACACTCTGAAGAAGTCAGACAACTACTGCTGGTTGAAGAGGAAGAGAGGAGGAGAGACTGGACCCTCTCCAAACAACGCCCTGATCAGTAGGAACATGGAGTGTGAAACTCAGGAGCTTAACAAAGACTGTTCAAGAGACGGCAAAGACTTCGGGGGAGCGGACTTGAGAAACTTCAAAGCCGCCAGCTTTGATCAGTGTGCTCGTTCCTGCAGGATGGCTCAGGATTGTCAGTCCTTCACACTTAAAAAATCTGACAACCACTGCTGGTTGAAGAGGAAGAGAGGTGGACAGAGCGGACCATCGCCAAATGTTGATTTAGTCAGCATGAATATCGACTGCTCCCCTGAATTTGACAACACAGGACATTTCAATAAATGTGCCATGAAAGGTTTTGACTTCGGGGGTGCAGATTTGAGAAACTTCCGATCTACTGGATATGTGGATTGTCACACGAGCTGCTTTGACGCTGCTGACTGCGTCTCCTTCACTATAAGAAAGTCTGACAACCACTGCTGGCTGAAGACGAAGGCTGGAGGACAAAACGGTCCCGGAGCTAACAGTGGTTTAATTAGTGCAAACATGATTTGTTAAAATAATTTATCTTCTTTGGTTTAATTCTTTATCGGACTTCTGTTATAGCATGGAATAAAATTAAGATTAGAGGCATTTTTAATAAGATTTGAAATAAATAAATGAAATGTTGAAAATGAAAGGATAATGATCATGATTGCGCTAAATATTTCATGATTTTCATGTATAACTATAATTATAAACATTACGTAGCATTTTGATTTCAATTGTCGTGTTTTATTTTAGCTGCGTTTTTATCCACTGAAAGGAAATAATATAAAAATCATATAAAAATTATCATTTACAAATTTTATTAAAAAGATTTTATATGATAACAACTAATACTATAACAGGCAAAACAACAATTGAGTCAAACAGTGAAATTTCGGTTAAGGAAAAGGCAGAAAAGCTTCTCTTCAAAGATCATCCAAAATCTCTTTTTTTATTTTGATGATTTTCCGTTTATCAAAACTTTCTTTGGTAATCTAACTTTCAGACCTCAATACTAGGTCTTGTGGCTGTGCCATCTACACTTTCCACAGTGAGGGGTCGTTCACATATTACGTAATCAGCCGAGTGGGGGGGGGGTTTCCAAATGCTTACGGTTGATTACGGGGGGGGGGGTAAAAATTGCTAAAATATTGATTACGTAATATGTGAACGACCCCTGAACTCATTAATTGGTCATTCAAGAAAAATGCTTGAACAGTTTTCAAGTATTAAACTACTAATAAATGACTCATACATTTATTTCCACCAGTCATAACTTATTCTCGTAAATTTGTACCTTAATCAGAATAGATAATTTTGTTAAAAAGCGCATTCTCCCAAATTGCTGGACTACAATGCCGGCCCCCCTCCCCATGTGGGCTGCAAACATTTGTAGCACCATTGAACCAATCGGAGGGATATTAGGACGACTGTGCTAAATCGAGCTATTTTAACATACATGTTATTATATATAAAATATTGATTGTAGGACATGTTCGGTACTTGATCAATACATAAAAGCCGAAGATATTGACTGATATTGTCAAGCATTAGACAATTTTAGCTAGCAGAGTATCGAAGTGCCCAGTTCAGTTCATGGTCAATTCTTCCTTTACCTTTAGTAAGCCTTACTACTAGCCTGTGTAAATTAGATATTACATTCCTCTCAACACTAACCTCACAGTGAATCATACAGGGTGGCCCATAAGTGACTACCCACACGCAACCTCTTAATAACTCACGTAATTCGTCTCCAAATTGCACCAAAATTTCAGAGATTATAGATATGGGTCAAACTTAGATTTCCTGAAAGTTTCGTAAGCCACGCCCAATTACAGTGGGCGTGGCGTGACACTCCCTCTTTTTCACTATTGTCTTCATAAAATGAGAACGCTTTAAGCTAAGAACTCAAAATTTTTTGCACACATTTGGCTTGATAATTGAAAACCTTTCCCAAAGTTTCAAGTTCATTGGTTAAAATATGGCTAAGTTATGACCATTTCAAAACTCATCGGATACGTGATCCGAGCACTCAGTCAGTGATCTCGTCACTTGGTTAATGGCCTGTTTGGCTCACATGCACCGCTTGATTGGTTGCAGCCTGCTTATGGGCCGGCCTATACAGCTGACTGCACCTAAAACGCTATCACACGAATTTATGGTGGTGTCACCATTTCAGGGCTTGTTAGCCCTGCTAGTCACAGGTTCCTTACAATCAATAAAAAGGAATGAACCATCCATTGAATCATCGAACCGGGCCTACCGAATCACAAAGAAACACAAACTTTTGGACCGTGATTTCCAATCGAGGATAGATTTCGCCAACACATTCCTGTCCAAGCAGAATGTGGATCCCTACTTTGAGGACGAAATCTGGTACAGCGACAAGGCCATATAAACGGATATGTCAACTCCCAGAATGCAATTCACTGGGGCTCTACTAGACCAGATTAAGTGGTGGAGAGAACGGCTTTTCCTGAAAAGTCACGATCTGGTTTTTATCCTAAAAATTTGTGTTTCCCTTTCTAGCAAAGTCATCATCGGTATCCAATCAAAGCCTAATGAACCTCATTAATACACGCTAACGCCTTACTCTTGATCAGATTGGGTGACGAGATCACTAATTGAGTGCAAATAGCACTGACTGAGTGCTCGGATCACATATCCGATGGATTTTAAAATGGTCATAACTCAGCCATATTTTAACCAATGAACTTGAAACTTTTGGAAAAGTTTTCAATTATCATGTGTTGCAATGTGTGCAAAAAATTTTGAGTTCTTAGCTTAAAGCGTTCTCATTTTATGAAGACAATAGTGAAAAAGAGGGAGTGTCACGCCACGCCCACTGTAATTGGGCGTGGCTTACGAAACTTTCAGGAAATCTAAGTTTGACCCATATCTATAATCTCTGAAATTTTGGTGCAATTTGGAGACGAATTACGTGAGTTATTAAGAGGTTGCGTGTGGGTAGTCACTTATGGGCCACCCTGTAATACAACTCTCGTAGCACATACCCTCCTTCTGAGAATGTAGCTACATTAACCATGGTAACTATTGCTGTAGTAACCATGGTAACTATATTAACTATAGTAACTCAACTCTATGGTAAAATTAAAAACATTATCTTAATTAACTGTAGTATGTGTAACTACAATTCCTATACTATTGGGACTATTGCTAGATATCGTAACTATCGCAACTATAGTATATGTATTAGCCTATAAAGCTTTAGTAACTATATTTAGTAATAATAATGATGATAGTAACTATATTTAGTAATATTAATGACGATAGTAACTATATTTAGTAATGATAATGACGATAGTAACTATATTTAGTAATAATAATGACGATAGTAACTATATTTAGTAATATTAATGACGATAGTAACTATATTTAGTAATAATAATGACGATAGTAACTATATTTAGTAATATTAATGACGATAGTAACTATATTTAGTAATAATAATGACGATAGTAACTATATTTAGTAATAATAATGACGATAGTAACTATATTTAGTAATGATAATGACGATAGTAACTATATTTAGTAATGATAATGACGATAGTAACTATATTTAGTAATTATAATGACGATAGTAACTATATTTAGTAATAATAATGACGATAGTAACTATATTTAGTAATAATAATGACGATAGTAACTTTAGTACTTTTTTTCCCCAGGTATCACCAGGTCACGGGAGAGCTCTCTCAGGACGAAACCTGCAAAGCGCGATTTAGAAGCTATACTAGGTTAGTTACCATGACAACGCACTTTTACCAGGTTTCCTTATTTGTATCAATACCTTCTGTATGTGATGAAGTGTGTTTTTACTCGTGACTGTTGGGGGTAATTTTGTTTAGTACGAGAAATGTGTCAAGTGACTAGGGTAACAAGGAGTTCGAAGCGTTACTGACGTGGACAACTTGGAGAGGGATAAACTGTTTGGTTAAAATCACATTTCCAGTGTTCTAGAACATTCGGTAAATTAAGAGCAGTACGCCCCCCCCCCCCCCCCCCCCTCCCATATCAGAGATCTCCAATTCTAAATCGCTCCACTATATTAATACAGGGTGGGCCAAAAGTCAGTGTGCAAACGTTGGCCTTAATAGCTCAGTCACTGAGTGCCCGATTGAAATAATTTGTTCTGGTATGACTTCAGTGGCGTAACGTTACTTTGTGCCGCCCCCCTGCTAATTGAAATTTGCCGCCCCTATCCGGAGCCGGCTCGCTTCGCTCGCCGAGATTTGTCCGTCGCGTGAAGTTACAGTGTAGTGTGTATTGTGTAATCAGTAATGTTTACCAACACGACGTCTAAGAAAACAAAGAAAATTAAATTTTGACCAAGACGCGCGCGTGTTAAACCCACGAAATATTAAAATCGAGCCGCGCATAGGCAGCAAAAATATACCATTATATCGACCTCTATTAATTTTGTGCGCGTTCGCGTTGGATAAAATTTATTCACGTGGTCTGCTGCTTGTCTTGTGATTGGAGGAAATTGCATGTCAGTCGATGATATCAATGCGAGACACCGATACACGACGCACGTGTAGTTATCAGAATGCTAATCGTTTGTTATCTTGGTTTTACCGTATGGCGTGTGCCCTAGAATGTACTTTACTACGTCTTGCGTCTACCGTCTGGCGAGTGGCGTCTACGTTGTTGATTGTTGATTGTTGATAATTGATTGTTGATTGTAATTGTGTAAACTGTAGACTTGTTGTCACTTGTGACTTCTGAAATCTGAGTTCTGACTGCTCACTGCTGACTGCTGAGTGCAGAAACTAAGCCGTTATCTGATAAGTTCCATGCCTATGAGCTATCAGTTGACAGTAAACAGTTATCATTTATCGTTATCTGCTATCACTTAAAAGTTATCAATCTTAATCTTGAATCTTAAGTTTTAATTTAAGTAAATTGTTGATCAATTCTATATTAAGTATTTCAACAGCTCATTTAGATCTCTTATTATTAACGGTATAGTAAAGTGTAAACGGTTTTTAATCTTAATTCTAATAGATCAATAATCAATTCAATTGACTCCATTGTTAACCTGCAGTGTGCAGATTGCCACGACTAACTGCTATGACTAGTTTTTAGTAATGAATTGCAATATTGTGAACTCGACCGTCGACGTTCAATTTTGTTGATTGATCATTGATCATTGATCGGAATTGCCTAAGGTCAGCGGTGCTTTCGCCTTTCAGCTTTGCGCTGGCCGGTTCACGAGTCACAGTATTAATGATGTTTTTGTATGACGTTTGTTGATAAGTTAGGTCTTAGCCCTTAGGATTTAATCCCTTAGGGCTGATTTGCATTTTGCATAGAATCTTACTGTCGCATGGATATTGTCAGAGTCCGCCGTCCGGTCAAATGGGAAACTGGAAGGACTGCAAGCGCTACCGTATTCTTGGTCACGTACCCACTTGGGCCACCCGACTTTCGTCTTTCAACGTGAACTTCGTAAGTTAATATTAGTTATAACGTTTATTCCTGTACTGATGTGCAATATCCTACCCAGTACCCCTACTGAAGCATGTGTTAAAGTTAGCTTTAATGTAGTTGACTCATCACTTGACATAGATTTTTAAAGCATGTTGCATGACTGTTGTCCACCAATTTAATCTACATGTGTCATATGCGTACATTTTTGTTATAGTCTGTGATTTTCCGCGATAGCCAACATTCAGTCACTCATCACTCATGTGATATGTCCATTGTCCTACCGCCCGAGAGCCACTTTTTTTAGGTTTGAAAATTAGCAATACTATTATTATTATTATTAACATGATAATAAGCTGCAGGCTGCTCACTACTCATCATCATGTATACAATATATCTAATTCGACAATCAATCGCATTGCAATTTGTAATTGACGACGACCGACCTCTTGATTGATTATTTTTTCACAACAGTTAACATGAAGCGAACTAAAGAATCTGGGGCAGCGTACAGAAACAAGAAGAAGAAGAAGGAGGAGTTTATGAAGTCCTATCCCAAGATAACAAGCTTCACCGCAACTGCAGGACCAGCGTTCCCTACTGCCGCAGAAGCCCGAGTAGCAGCACAAGACGTGTATTGGCGGGAGGAGAGCCGTCCCGATCCAGTCGAGGAACCAGATGAAGAGTTGGAGTTTCCCCTATTTGAATCGGACGACGAAACAGGTAAGAAAATTACTGGAGGAACCCCAAAATAATAGGTCTTTACTAATTTACTGAAATAGTGACATGATTCTCTAAAACTCCTGTTAGTGCAAGAAAGTACATATAATTGACTTGTTATCATAACTCATAACTAATTACTAACAAATAGTAGTACGGATTACGGAGTATGATACGATAATCAGTCTATTATCTCGTCGTGAATGGTGTGATCTTAGATATTACATCATAGATTGACTGCCACATCCTTAAATTTCTTTTCACAGAAACATCTTCATTTTTGGCTTGCTTTTTACAGTTGATCATGAAATCTGCGCCAGGTGAAGGAAGCAACGAAGTCGATGCTGTAGTGGAAGCTGCAGCTGCTCTATCACTGGAGGTGAACTGGCCGAGCGACAAGGAGCTGTTCAAAGACAGACAATGTCTCAGCATCGCTGACAAGCGGGCGATACTGCAACACGGACCTTGTCAACCCTCAACGTTGTCGAACTACTATGTTAGTAAGCAACAGAATGGACTCGAACTGCGAAGAAAATGGCTCTGCTATTCACCACTAGGCAAATATGCCTACTGCGAGACATGCTGGCTGTTCGGGGATAAAGCCAAATCACCGTGGGCAGACAAGATTCTTCCCAGTAAGAAGTATGGCATCTCCAAGAAGATGAAGACACATGAGACGTCCGAGAGCCACGCAGAGGCGCATAAAAATCGACTGCACTTCATCAAAAGCCCAGTCGATCTTCAAGAGCTGAAGATCATCGAGGAGAACGAAAAAAAGTGGACTCTGGTCGTCGAGCGGGTTATTGCCATCATAATAGCTGCTGCCTCTATGAACATTGGATTACGTGGACACAGAGAGGTTGTGGGGGATGGAGTTTGTGAGGGATCCAACTTCCTAGAGTTGGTCAAACTGCTTGCCCAGTTTGACGGTCTCCTGAAGCAAGTGATCGCCACGCCCAAGGGGAAGACTAAATATCTGAGCCCTGCGATCCAAAACGAGCTGATCTCCCTTATCGCCGAGGAAATGCGGATCTCCTTGGTATCGGATATCCTAAAGAGCCCCTACTTTTCGATTATCCTTGATTCGACAGTTGATCTGGGAAAGGTTCGTTCCATCTTTTGGTCAAATACATTTTGATTTCAAATTTGTTTATGTAATATGATTATGTCTGTACAGTGGACAATGGTAAAGAAAAATACCGTTACACCTTCCCTTTTCACTATGTTGTACATTTATTTCTTCCATCGGATGTGTATTAGAATCTAGAAGCTATTTTATTGACATATTTCCCTCACAGGTAGACCAATTAAGTTTGGTGGTGCGCTGGGTTTCCGTTCGAGACTCTCAAGTACAGGTGCATGAGACCTTTCTCGGATTCATCGCAATGTCATCTGGAAAAGCAGAGGCTATTGCTAATCTCGCTATTGAAGAACTCCAGAAGCTGGGAATCACGCTGGACAAACTTAGAGGACAGGGATTTGACGGAGCCAGTGTTATGTCGGGAGTTTATGGGGGAGTACAGACGATACTGAAGAACAGAACCACGAACCCTGTTCCCTTTGTGCACTGTTCGACCCACAATCTGTGTTTGGTGATAAAAGATGTTGTGGCTGCTACCAACCACACCAGTGATTTCTTCGACTGTCTGGGCCAGGTTTTTACGTTTGTTGGATCGAGCTCATTACGCTGGGAGGAGCTGAAGATGAACTCTCCGGGCTTAGACCTAAAAAAACTTTGCCCAACGAGGTGGTCGTCTCGTCATGAAAGCGTTCGGGCCATCAAGAATCGGCAGCCAGATATCATCAGACTTCTGACGAAGCTATCACTCACCAACTGCCGAACATCTGCGGGACTTTTGAGTAGAGTTAGAACTTTCGAGTTCACCATTACTCTGGTGTTTTGGGAGAAGCTGCTCTCCAAGGCACAGACTATTACTAACATGCTCCAGGCTAAAAACCTGGACATTGGAGTTGTGCCAGCTGCTCTCAGCAGCTTTACAAGATTTCTCCGAAATCTAGAGGGAAATTGGGATACTCTCATCGTAGAAGCTCAGCAGCAAGCCATCTATGCTGGGGCCGAGCAGTCATTCCAGCTCACCATGGCCCGGAACCTCTACAGATATTCTGGTCAACTTCGTGGCCAGAACTTACCAGAACCATCGAAGAAGGATTTGTTCAAGGTACAGATATTTCTTCCCACACTGAAGACATGTCGGGAACAAATCCTTCTTCGATTTGAGGGACACAACTCGATAGTGAGCAAATTCGCGTGTTTGCAGCCCAAACACATACTGACGAAGAGTTGCACGGACCTCCGAACTGCTGCGAATGAGTTGGTAAAGATCTACCACAAGGACTTGCAGCCATCATTGGCAGACGAGTTAATTGACCTGAAGGAAGATTACGGGAGTGAGCTAAGGACCGAAGATGTGACAAGTCCTCTCCAGTTGGTCAACTTTATCTTCGAGAGAGACCTTCCGCTGTTGTGTCCGCAGTTGGTAGCAGCCTTGATGCTTTTCATAGCTATACCAGTCACTGTTGCATCGGCGGAACGGTCCTTCTCGAAGTTAAAGTTGATAAAAACTTATCTAAGGTCGACTATGTCACAATCTAGACTTAAGGATTTAGCTCTCATCTCAATTGAGAACAGTGAGGTTGACAAACTTGATCGCTCGAAGCTGGTACAGAAATTTGCCAGTGCAAAAGCAGGGCGCATCAAGCGTTTCCACTGAACATTTATTTATTTTTTTGTATTTTGTAAATTGTTGTAATTGGGTTGACTTGATCTGTGATCATGATGTTTATTTTACTTAACATAATTTATAAGTGTATCTTGAAACGGTTGTTTCTATTTGTCCTACTACGATAACTAACATGGCCAGAGCCCAGGAGCCGGATTTAAAATTATTGAAAAGTCACAAACTGCAAACCTCGAAGGTTAGAGTTCACACAATTACCGTCGTATAAACTTTAGTCACACCGCGCATCATTAGAAATTGGCCTCCGCGCTAAAGTATTAACAATGAAAGTGTAGTATCGTTATCACTTTTTGCGCAACTTTCAGCGCGTGGTTAAGTTGCGCTATAAATTCGTGTAGAATTTTGGAGTAGTAGACACGTTCAACTAATTTCTTTACTTTTTTTACTTCGGTATGAAGAGTCACGGGTCATCACCGGCTACAGGGGGCGGCAAAATTGTGTAATGGGGCGGAAAAATGCCGCCCCCCTAAGGTGCCGCCCCCCTGCTAGCAGGGTTAGCAGGGGCGGTCGTTACGCCACTGTATGACTTACTACTACTGGTTCGAGAAATTTGTCAAATCGAAACATATTTGTGTTCATTTTTTCAAAAGAAGGTTCATTTTCGCATTTATTTGATAGTTTGGATAGTCGGATCGAGCCAAATTTTATTGAATTGTGTTTGGCCATTTAAATTACGTTTGCCCTGAAAAAATGAGAGTTCTAGCTTCTCAGATGACCGAGATATGAATCTTAACGAGGTTATTCATTACGTGTGATCAGGTGATTGGTTTACCTGATCATGTGATTAGGTGAACCCGTTAAACACCCCGTTAAACATTATGGGAATCGTGAAGGCTGCCCAATTAAGGTGTCGTGTCGCGGTGTCATATAATCACATCTAGCATGTTCGGGGAGAACAATATAAGTGTTTTAATATTGAATGGGCGTGGTCTAAAATATTCGAATTTTCAAATTTTGGTGACGGAATCCTCGAACCAGTACTAGTAGGTACAGTAAACCATCTGCAAAGCAACAACCCTCAAATATAAAACACGGCGGGGGTAAAAGACCCAACGTTTGCACACTGACTTTTGGCCCACCCTGTACATGTACTTATTTCCCAGTACTGTCGCCGCACATGTCCTAACACCTAAGGTGCTCGGTATACTTTAGACACGAGAAGGGAACAGAGTACAGACCAAGGGTTACATTTATGTGGGCCCATTTAAGGTTAAAGTAAGAAAAGTAAGGCTACTGTATTCTGGATAAAAGTAAAACGAAGCCACGAGGTGACATACGTCCAACAATGGCGTTTCTCTTGTCGCTAACATTATACTTATAGTGTGGAAGTCGCGCACGTGTTGCCATGGTCACAATCATGTTGCCATCAGCCATGCAAACATTTATCCTAACTCAACAATTGTTATTTTGAGTTCCCAACCTTGTACGTGATTTTATTTTAAACTAATCTAAGTAATAGTTAATAAACTACTCGCAGGGAAAGAGGATCATATGTTAGTACAGCGAATTATTGAAGAGAACAAGGCAATCATTGAAGATGCTCATGCTAAGCTTACTTCACAGGTAAATTAAATATTACTATGCCTATGGTAACTGCTATGATAATTGATAGCCATCTGCCACAGTAACTACTATAGTAACCGTAGTAATAATTAGATATGAACCCTGATCTTCATTTTTATTTATTTGTATTTATACTCTCATTTGTTGTGCTCTTTGCTGTCTAAATGTCGTCATGTGAATTGTGATCAATTGCAGATTGCCCTGGCTGAACTTGTTAGTTTTAAAAGTAAAACTTTGTTATAAGACGCTTTATAGTAGCGAGATACTACTGTAGCAGTAAAACTAGTTACAAATACGTATAACTATAGTAGTATTGCTAAGCTATAATAGTAGTATTGTTAAGCTAGAGTGTGTCGCTAAGCTAGAGTAGAATGGTCTCATACTGCTGCAGTTACTACAGCAACACAAGAGTTACAGATGATACATTCTTTCATTTTTACGGAAACTGAAAAAAGTTGGAATATTTTCCAACATTTTTGACAGAATCTTGTTGAGTGCTCTGGTAGCAGATTATTTAGTCGTTGTTAAAGAATGTCAAGGGATTCTATTCTCAGTTACTATAGCAACAGGACTTTTAAGTTGCAATAGCAACGGCACTTTAATAAAGTAGTAACATTCCTGCAGTACTGCATTCCCACAATAGTATAAATGTTAATAGAAACTAGTACCCTGTTTGCTATACTTTAAAACTTCAGCATTGTTACATTAGTATACTGTAACCTTGTCCCGTTTCAGGAGGAGAAGCTGATTAAGAAGATAATGGAAGTTTCAATGACTGGCAACTCTATCGACTGCCTGGATATACTGACGATCATCGAGTCTTGCTGAGTGTTACCATGGTAACACTCATGTTGCCATGGTAACACGTCATGGTAACTAATACCCAGTGCAGTTTATGACTGAACATCATGCTGTTGCCATGGTAACACATGGTAACACATGGTAATTGGTAACATATGGTAACACATGGAAACACAACATCATCCATCGAATTTCTTGTGCGATTAGGAAGACGTTCCAATGTCAGTGGTGTAATGATGAACTGAACTTTAAGAGTCAGAACTGTGTTGCTATAGAAACTAATAGCAACAAACGGTAGTAACTTGTCAGGACCATAACATGTTTCATTTCGATTTATATTTAAGTTACGATCAAGACTTGTGAATTTAATCCGTGATATATTTAAGTGATTTATATTTTCATTTTACCATTTTGTACATTTTTACCCTTGATAAGTTTTCATGTTGTTTTAGTGTCACGTGACCGATTCCCGACCAATCAGAGAGCTGTAATGTCACGTGACTAAAATGCAGCTCCCGTAGTTTTGTAGTTTCTGTGTTGATAAAGGAGCAGGATTTAAATTCTAATGTTTAATTTTCTGGAAAATCATAAATGTTATAAATTTGTTACGATTCTTAATTGATATTTTTTTGATATTTATAGTATGTCATGAATCATTGAGAGGAAAGAGTATTTCGTGTTACTATGACGACTGTGATACGTCCTGTAATAGAGAGATTGTTTCAATTCACTCTGTTATATGTGTCAATGATCCGAGAGTTGATTTATAATTTATAATTTCTGTTAAAGTTTATACAAAAAATTCCATTTAAAAGATTTTAATCGAATTTAAGCCCCTTCCATTTGCAGTGTCTACCTCAAGAAACCACTATTTACAAGTCTCCCTTTGTTAGACCTATTCATTCATTAGATTAACAATGTATCATTAACAGTAGTGTTCAGGGCATCGGTTCAGGGCAACAGTTAATTAAAAGGAAGCAGTATTTTGTGTCACATGGAGATTTAACTTAAACTCAGTGTTTTAATGAATCTTTCGAATCATTCGATGAAAATAATAAAATTATTAGTCATTTTAATAAACTAATCATCGATTAATCAGAAAAACGTGCAACCAAGGAAACCGCTAATTCCGAGTTCAAATCCTTTAAACAATAAATTAAAAACAATAATTTAACATGGCATGAGTTACTAAGGAATCTGGCCGAATAGAACAGTGTTATGTATTGACTGTTGAGCGATAAATACAATCATTGCCGTAGAATTACTTTGTACAAATTAGGGTGTAAGAGGGCCACCCAATGAGGTAGTTTTCACACTTAACTATTAGTTGTCTTATTCAAGTTTATTAAAATATTAACAGTTCAGATCTGAAGTAACCACAGTTACAATATTAACACTATTCTAAGGAACAGTAGGATCAGTTAGCCTCGATAAGTTGACAGTTCCTCCAAATCAGTGATATGTAATCTGAACTATGTTGAGGATTATCCAGTTTGTGCGCTATTGATCTTTCTGTCCACCACTTTATCAGAGAAGACTGACTCTGATCGAGCTGAAGGGAAAGGGTAGTTAAAGGTCACTGATAAACTCTGAAGTTATTTTATTTGTATCGTCTGTTTTGATGTAAAACGGTTTTTATTTTAAGCAAATGATCCGTACCAGAAAAATAATCCATTTATAATTGTATAGAAAAGCGTTTGCAGTAGACCTACACTATACAATATACTATGTACTAGCAGTACTGCACTTGAAGTACACATACACTACAGTAATTACAGTAGTGCGCGACGTAGTACGCGAAGCCCATATTTAGGAATTCGATCTTGACCACAGGACATTACTGTCAAAGATATCGAGTGGCAAAAAAGTGAAAGTTTTTTGGGCGTCATGCAGAAAACGATAGTTCAACGGCAAGGGGTCGTTCACTTATTACGTGATTACTTTTTGGAGAATTTTCTTTGACACTGCTTTAGTGAATTGTATCAAAATGACACTAGCGTAATCATTTATAACCCCCCCCCCCCCCCCCCCCCCCCCTCCCCCCGCCCCCTCTCAAAAACGAAAAACGCTGCACAATTAATGCCATAATATTTTCCGCTGTGTGAATGTGATAAGCTTAGCAAGTCTTGTCGTGCGGCGCGCGCGAACGAATTAATTAAAGGCGCGCTTGAGAAGGGTCATAAATTGTAGCTTCGCGTTTTCCAGAAATTAAATAAACAGCTTTCCAGATTGTGACCGAGGAATGGCAAAGGGCGGGAATGGTCGGTTTTGGAGTGTTGTGCTACCGGATGTTAGACGCGGATTAAATTCCGTACCAAATTCTTTAAAACTGTTGTGTTCGTTGAGTTTTTATCTAACCTTAATCAGACAAATTCTTAATTTGTAAGTTGAGATAAAGGATGCTGAATGTCAAATGTTGATGAAGGGGCTAGCAAAAAGAAATATAAATTTATATTTTCTTAAATGAATGTTCTTTATTCCTGCAGGAGCGGCATTAACAAGAAACAATTTTTAACTAGAGCAGATCATAAGTCATACTTCAAAACTTACTAAGTTAGAAAGTTTAATTAATTGCCCAGAATTCCAAGAGGCCCTCCATTTCCTACTAATATTTACATCTGATTGGTCGACTAAAGTCACGTGATTAGTATGCAAATTATCATTGGCTGCTTTAATACCTTAATAACTAACACACCAAGTAACTAGCAGACATGGTGATCTTAACTCTGTTTGTTTTTAAGTTCTTGTTGGGACACAACCAATTATTCTTTTAGAGCGTCTTTTGGTTTAAATAGTTAATTAATGTTGGTTTAATGATTCGTATTCTACATTAAGATAAACCAATCAATCAATGTCTACCATTAGAATGAATATTTGCAAGTTACAAGTATTACTACTACTGTTACTAGTACAATCTAACAACACAGCGGTCACACAGAGCTGTATTCACAACAGTAAACAATACTCATACCAAGAAACATTCTCTGATGGTTGCTCCATTTGCCAGTGCCAAGCTGGTGCTACTGTTACTTGCTCAGGGGTGAGTTTGTTGCTCAATTTAAGAGAGCCGGGGGGGTCTTCATCAAAATTCTCTCGAAATTGACTTTTGAGTTGTTTCTTGTTAGAGGGGAGTAATATCTATCACGTGCAGTGGCGAAAAGTACTTATTTTGTACAAAGTGATTGCATGAGCATATCCTGGGTATTAAAAGTTAGCAGCATTATAGTTAAGGATTAGCAGCATTATAGTTAAGGATTAGCTACAATACCAAGACACTTTCTCTGATGGTTGCTCCATTTGCCAGTGTCAAGCTGGTGCTACTGTTACTTGCTCAGGGGTGAGTTTGTTGCTACAATTCGGGAAGGGATAGCGAGGGTCGAGGGGGGGAACATTGTTTTATTTTCATTTGAGTTACGGTTTTAATCATAATATCTGGTTTATTGTGGTTGGTGAACTATATACTGTAAACTACCTCCAGACGTGTACCTTCTGTGTAAGGGAGGGAACAACATTTGAAGATTACGAACAATTTGAAGAGGATTGCAGGGAATGTCAGTGTAGAAACGGAGAGATTTCTTGCTGGGACACAGTCCAAACCAAGGTACAGTAACATATCGATTTAGAATAGCAGTTTTTTACAAATTTTCGATATTTTCAGCCGATCAAAATACACATAAAAATCAATCCAATCATTACCGAACCGCTTTTAATCGATTCTACGGTCAAAAATACATCTGGTAAACTATAACTATGTTCAAAGCTTTGAGTGGAAATACAGTGAGGCCCTATGTTGTTATTATCAGAAATCTCAACCGCCAATTCTACCTAAGTTCCCCTATAAAAAATAAGATATTCTCAGGAATGCTCAATGTGTGAGACACAGAACTTGGACGGAACAAAAACAACACACGAACATTTGTCCGTAAGTAAAGGAACTATGAATGTGCACTTTATTTTCGTTAATACATCGTCAAAACAGTAATATTTAAGTTTAATATATTACTCATAAACTAGTCCATTAATAATGGTATTGAACACAACATTTTTTTTGTTTTGTTAGATTTCTTTCTTATGTAGTGATGACATCACACTGTCACGTGATGTCATCACACTGTCACGTGATGTCATCACACTGTCACGTGACGTCATCACACTGTCACATGACTATATTATGAAGTTGTTTCACAGGAATGGTACATGATGACGGATGCCGGATGTGAAGAGTGTGTGTGCAACAGGAAAAAGATCGAATGTTTGGTGATGCCACAAGAAAGATCACGTGGTCACGTGGAGTGTGCTTACCATGGCAACTAACTGATCACGTGGCGTAATCACATTATCACATGGAGTGGGCTTACCAGGGCAACTAACTATAGTGTAATCATTGTATGAACTTGGCACCTAGGCAGGATGGATATTGGATATTTCTGTACTTGCTTTGTAGGTTATTGTTTGTCCTTGTTTTATTAGATAGGTACATAGAATTTAATGAGCGTACCCAAATGCCAGATTTAAATGCATGATAATGAATAGGGCTCCCTAAGACAATAATCTTTGGATTGAATTTAAATTAAATAGAAAATTGGAAATTGAATTTTTAACATCAAACCTACCTGGTTCTTTTTCCTTCTAAGCTTGTTTGTTTCTATTTGCACTTCGGATCTTCATCTTGAGAAATAACGAGAATCAGGAACCCTGCGATCAGTTTTATTATCTGGTCATGGTGTGTACTGTGTAGCCCTAGAGTGTTACTTTGATAACAATATAAATAAAATGCAGTACTGTTAACGAGAGATAAAGCTATAAAACATACCATTCTTTCCTGCTGATAATATTGTAGCTGTTCAGATACAGTTTGAAGTACAGAGTTCGGTAAATTGCTGTGTTCTGAGATGTTTCTGTTTCCTGTAAATAGCTGGATAATTAAAAGTACAGTAGTAACTGAGAGTTGAGCATTGAACATATTAAATTTAAAAAGTAAGTTGCATTTATTTCTGATAATACTCTTGGATCTTACATTATGGGGTAATTAAACAACTCAAACAAAATTATTGAACGTCAGAATGTTTTCTTTGTTTTAGAGTACAATATAACATGGTAAGTAAAACTTGATTGAACAATTTAAACTCAAGACAAAAATCAAGACCCAAATTTGCAAATCAGTTCAGCAGTAACACATGAAAATTTCGGAGAAGCTCTGAATATAAAACGGCCCAATCTGGAATTCTTTCTAGTTCCATGTGAAACAGTAATAAATGGGTTTAAATCAGATCATTAGATCATAAAAGATGCTAAAATAGGTCCAGAAACATCAAGCCAGTCTCACTTTCAGTGTCTCTTGTAACCAGACTAAGATGCTACTTGAGCCTCTTCCTGGGGATAACTAGGTTCTTCAGGTACTTCCTCAACTTCTTTAGGTCGCTCCTCCTCTACCTCCTCCTTCCTTTCTCTACTTTCCTCCTTCCTTTCTCTACTGCCCTCCTTCATCTCTCTGCTTCCCTCCTTCATCTCTCTGCTTCCCTCCTTCATCTCTCTGCTTCTGCTTCCCTCCTTTTCTCTACTTTTCTCTCTGTCTCCCTCTCTCTCTGGATATTTCTCCCTTTCTCTTTCCCGATCTCCACGATCTCTATCCCTGTCCCTGTCTCCCATCCTGTCTCTGTCCCCCCGTCGATCGTCTCTGTCTCTGCGATCCCTCTTCCTGTCCCTGTCTCTGTCATCATCCCGTCTCTCTCGCTTCCTGTCTCCATCCCTATCTCTCCTTCGATCATCATCACGTTCTGGCCGGTCCCTGTCACGCTTTCTATCACCACGATCATCTTCACGCTCTCCACGATCATCCCTTCTTGTGATTCTTCTATCCTCCTTTTTCTCTTCTCTCTTATCTTCATCCTTGAAGGATCTCTCACGTTCAGTTGACCTGCGCCTTTCCGATGTGTCTCTAGACATCTCCCTCGACTCTGACGGAGATCCCTCCTTCTCATTATCAATGTTATTGAGGGCTCTATCTCGTGCCCTATTAGCTCTATCTAACTTCTCTTGATATTGTCTGGGATCAACTCTTCCTGAGTGAGTAATGTTGAACTCTGGGGCTCCAATTCGTGACCCACCAAGACCTCCCCCAAATCTTCTTGGCTTCCAATTCTTAACAGTCCGTCCTCGTTCAATATCCACTACGACACGTCGTCCGTCAATCTTCTTACCATCTCCATATTTGTAAGCAGCCCTCATACCCTTCTCAGTCTCGTACTCAATAAAAGCGTAACCGCGCGGTTTCCCTGTCCTAACATCACGGACCATATGTATTTTTCTGATATAACCAAACTCTTCAAATTCACGTTGCAGCTTATCCTCTCTTGTGTCATAGTTGATTCTCGATACAAAAACGGTTTTAAAAGCGTCTCCAGTAGCGTTTGGATCGTTTTGGGGATCCCATTTCAGAAGTTCCTGTTCAACACGGTTCTTCTGAGATTCTTCTTTTTCCAAACGTTTTGCTTCTTTACGTTCCAACCTTGAAGGACACTTCATAGCCTCAGGAGTGTCAACTGGATCTTCAAAAAGGTGACTGTAAACACCTACACCAGTCAGAGTGCAGTCTTCATTCGTATGTTTTGGTGGAGGGGGTGGGAGATAAGGTAGGGGGTCACGTGGTGCAAATAACGCAAGTAAATTGGCAGGTAAAAACTGAGTCATATTCCTACCTGATGAGAAGAGGATGTTAGATGCCTTCTTGATCACATCTCAACCGTAATTAATCATCAACAATGTTATTATAAGTACAATGAACAATGAACATGATATCTTTTTGCATTAAAAACACTCAAATATTTCATTGAATGTAAATTAGACATTTTATACAAGATGTCAAATCATCAAATTTATTGAGGACAATACAAAATATTAAATGGAATAGAAAATTCAAGATACAATGTACACAATCAAAAATGATCAATAATTTAAACAACTAAATTACCCAAATCTTCGAATTTGAAAACTATTTTGGTGTTGCAGCACAGATAGCCCCAACAAATCCTTATTAAACTGGAATTTATAACAAACCAAATCTAGGCCACACTCGATTGAATTCAAACCATGATGCCTGACTAAAACTTTATTAAAGCAGTACCAAATCTGTACCAGATCTGTCTAAATTCGATCCAACTACTAAGAATTTTAGGGTCCGTTCTGTCAGTAAACCTCTGTAAATTAATAATTCTTATAACAAAGAATTTTATAAAATTCTTAACCAAACCAACCCTCCACTTGCACTCCTTCACTTACTGTTTAACTCATCATCACAATGTTTTGTCATTATTCTGATTTCTTCATTCCATCTTTTAATACCAAATTTGCTGTACATAAACCCAAAACCAAGGCCAACAAGGTGCCCAAAACTATCAATTCTGTGATATCTTGACAGAGCTAAAAGTACCAGTTCAAAGCACACAACAAGTTTCCCAGCATCTCCCGCAGAAAAGTGCCGGTCCGGCCTTGTGAAGATAAATGAAACTCTGCTCTCTGGTTTCTGGGCGATTTCAAACATAAGCAGAGCACACAGAGATCCTGAGAACCCCACGGAGATATCCCTACTCCTGAGCAGCGCATACCTTGCATTACAAACGAGGGATACTACAGCACCTGACATTATGAGAAAAGTTAACAAGTGTTGGTGACTCATACAGTCTAATGAGCCACTTGCAACTGGGCCCTTACCATGCCAGCCAATTGTCAAAACGTACAAGGAGAGCATGTTGCAAGCTAAATGGGGTACAGAACCATGTAAAAATATAGAGGTTATTGGAGAGAAAAATGAAGACGATGCGCCTGCTCCAAACATTCTCATTAATTTCTCTGATCTGAGAAGGAACATGGAACTAATGAAGCAAAAAGATGAGAATACGATCAGCTGAATAATCCTTCTATTAAACAATGTATCAGGACAATTGCAGTAATTTCTTATGATTTGACCCCACCTATCATCATAAACATCAAATCTTGTCTGTATAGATGTCAATGCATGTTGGAATTTAGTTTCTATTACTTCGAACAAAGCATTTCCAGTTTGGACAACGAAGAGGAAGGGCAGAGTGAACAACAGTTGTTTGATGATTGGTCTCCAAGAAAGAGAAGCAGCTTTAAGGGGAACAGAATTCTCCGTTTTGGCACCATTTAATGTAGTTCTCTGAGTAACATTAGAATTTCCTTTAGCCCGAAATTTTCGAGAGAAATCCCTAACGAATAAAGTGATGATTCGTGCCTGTGGGTGTTTTCTGCAGTTTAGTAATCTTGAGAACAGTACCATCAACACATGGAGATTATTCCTGTAGAGCTGTAGGGTAACAGTATGCTTTTATGTGAATAATTTCAAAGGGGGTTAACATGAAATCACAAGGCAAAATGTCTTGTGAGGTGTTAAATAATAATAATTCTATACATTCGTACTGTTACATAACTTAAAAATTATGGCCCCTTATTGTGGGCAGAGTATGTGTCTTTGTTGAAGTGTCCTGATTTAAAATCATCTGAGTGACTGCATTAAAAAAAATATGAGGTGTTAAAATAGAACTGTGAACAAATAAACAAATCAAGTCCTTGATTTCTTAACTTTCTCACAGATTATTTTGTTTGAAATAACCAAATGAAGTGTTTTGAAAACCAAGATACCAAACCAATCAGAACTATTTCTCCTGCTGGGGGGGGGGGGTACCAATGGCATAAAATGGCATAAATGGCATACGTTTTATGGCATAAATGGAAATTTGTATTGGCCAATTCTCCATTTATGCCATGAATTTAGGTCTTCATATTTGACCTTTAGGATGACTTTAAATTCGCAAATTATTATTAGTACTTGAATAAGAGACATTTTTCATGCTTTATAACGCTTGGAATGATCGTTAAAGATTCATATGACAAATAAAGAAAATATAAATGTATTGTATCAAACATTTCCAATGGCATAGAATGTCATAAAATGGCATAAATGGCATAAATGGCATACGTTTTATGGCATAAATGGAAATTTTTATTGGCCAATTCTCCATTATGCCATTCTTACAAATAAAGAAAATAGAAATGTATTGTATCAAACATTTCCAATGGCATAGAATGTCATAAAATGGCATAAATGGCATACGTTTTATGGCATAAATGGAAATTTTTATTGGCCAATTCTCCATTATGCCATTGGTAAAAATGGGGAAAATGTCAAACAGTATATATACAATAAATTAAATCAAGTGATGCAATTGGCAGAGCACAATCGTAAATCCTGAGCAATAGATATCATCTATCCCGCAAGTTTCTGTACCAAGCATCCAGCATCACATCACCGCATCCTTGTAGGCAGTGGTGTAACGTATTACGATCAAAAAGATTCTATCGAGTCCTTCACAGCAATACAGTAAATAATTCCATGCTGTCCACTTATAGCAGGTTAGATCGTGTTGGATGATGATTAATCACTCTACACTCGACTGTCACGTGACTTTTTCAATCTGTTCTCTAGCTGGTCCTGAACGACTATTCGAAACCCTAACCCTCTAATCTGATCCAAACCCTAACCCTAACCCAATCCTTAACAAAAGCATATGCTGAAACCCTAACCCTAACGAGAAATTAGACTGACTTCCTTATACGGTCATATTACGTGATCAAAACAGTTTTCCGCCATTATCTCGCCAGGGGAGCATTTTATCTCATGTTATGGGGATGATTCGGAATCAGCGTCCGAAAATACATCGATTCGAGTTGGTTCCAACTGTCGGGGGCCCTTTAACAATCTCGAAGATCGCGACTGTAGAGTGATTTAGAACGCTCGGATCGTGCTGTTTGCTGTTAAGTATGATTGTCCGACATATTATAATTTAAAGCAAAACAGAAGTGATTTTCTTATTAAGCTAAAAAATCGATCATATTGGCAGACCCAAAATTCGCATAGTGGCCTTTCAGATTGTGTGAAGGGAGTAAGCAAAGAAAAAGAATAATTTAAACAACTAAATTACCCAAATCTTCGAATTTGAAAACTATTTTGGTGTTGCAGCACAGATAGCCCCAACAAATCCTTATTAAACTGGAATTTATAACAAACCAAATCTAGGCCACACTCGATTGAATTCAAACCATGATGCCTGACTAAAACTTTATTAAAGCAGTACCAAATCTGTACCAGATCTGTCTAAATTCGATCCAACTACTAAGAATTTTAGGGTCCGTTCTGTCAGTAAACCTCTGTAAATTAATAATTCTTATAACAAAGAATTTTATAAAATTCTTAACCAAACCAACCCTCCACTTGCACTCCTTCACTTACTGTTTAACTCATCATCACAATGTTTTGTCATTATTCTGATTTCTTCATTCCATCTTTTAATGCCAAATTTGCTGTACATAAACCCAAAACCAAGGCCAACAAGGTGCCCAAAACTATCAATTCTGTGATATCTTGACAGAGCTAAAAGTACCAGTTCAAAGCACACAACAAGTTTCCCAGCATCTCCCGCAGAAAAGTGCCGGTCCGGCCTTGTGAAGATAAATGAAACTCTGCTCTCTGGTTTCTGGGCGATTTCAAACATAAGCAGAGCACACAGAGATCCTGAGAACCCCACGGAGATATCCCTACTCCTGAGCAGCGCATACCTTGCATTACAAACGAGGGATACTACAGCACCTGACATTATGAGAAAAGTTAACAAGTGTTGGTGACTCATACAGTCTAATGAGCCACTTGCAACTGGGCCCTTACCATGCCAGCCAATTGTCAAAACGTACAAGGAGAGCATGTTGCAAGCTAAATGGGGTACAGAACCATGTAAAAATATAGAGGTTATTGGAGAGAAAAATGAAGACGATGCGCCTGCTCCAAACATTCTCATTAATTTCTCTGATCTGAGAAGGAACATGGAACTAATGAAGCAAAAAGATGAGAATACGATCAGCTGAATAATCCTTCTATTAAACAATGTATCAGGACAATTGCAGTAATTTCTTATGATTTGACCCCACCTATCATCATAAACATCAAATCTTGTCTGTATAGATGTCAATGCATGTTGGAATTTAGTTTCTATTACTTCGAACAAAGCATTTCCAGTTTGGACAACGAAGAGGAAGGGCAGAGTGAACAACAGTTGTTTGATGATTGGTCTCCAAGAAAGAGAAGCAGCTTTAAGGGGAACAGAATTCTCCGTTTTGGCACCATTTAATGTAGTTCTCTGAGTAACATTAGAATTTCCTTTAGCCCGAAATTTTCGAGAGAAATCCCTAACGAATAAAGTGATGATTCGTGCCTGTGGGTGTTTTCTGCAGTTTAGTAATCTTGAGAACAGTACCATCAACACATGGAGATTATTCCTGTAGAGCTGTAGGGTAACAGTATGCTTTTATGTGAATAATTTCAAAGGGGGTTAACATGAAATCACAAGGCAAAATGTCTTGTGAGGTGTTAAATAATAATAATTCTATACATTCGTACTGTTACATAACTTAAAAATTATGGCCCCTTATTGTGGGCAGAGTATGTGTCTTTGTTGAAGTGTCCTGATTTAAAATCATCTGAGTGACTGCATTAAAAAAAATATGAGGTGTTAAAATAGAACTGTGAACAAATAAACAAATCAAGTCCTTGATTTCTTAACTTTCTCACAGATTATTTTGTTTGAAATAACCAAATGAAGTGTTTTGAAAACCAAGATACCAAACCAATCAGAACTATTTCTCCTGCTGGGGGGGGGGGGGGGTACCAATGGCATAAAATGGCATAAATGGCATACGTTTTATGGCATAAATGGAAATTTGTATTGGCCAATTCTCCATTTATGCCATGAATTTAGGTCTTCATATTTGACCTTTAGGATGACTTTAAATTCGCAAATTATTATTAGTACTTGAATAAGAGACATTTTTCATGCTTTATAACGCTTGGAATGATCGTTAAAGATTCATATGACAAATAAAGAAAATATAAATGTATTGTATCAAACATTTCCAATGGCATAGAATGTCATAAAATGGCATAAATGGCATAAATGGCATACGTTTTATGGCATAAATGGAAATTTTTATTGGCCAATTCTCCATTATGCCATTCTTACAAATAAAGAAAATAGAAATGTATTGTATCAAACATTTCCAATGGCATAGAATGTCATAAAATGGCATAAATGGCATACGTTTTATGGCATAAATGGAAATTTTTATTGGCCAATTCTCCATTATGCCATTGGTAAAAATGGGGAAAATGTCAAACAGTATATATACAATAAATTAAATCAAGTGATGCAATTGGCAGAGCACAATCGTAAATCCTGAGCAATAGATATCATCTATCCCGCAAGTTTCTGTACCAAGCATCCAGCATCACATCACCGCATCCTTGTAGGCAGTGGTGTAACGTATTACGATCAAAAAGATTCTATCGAGTCCTTCACAGCAATACAGTAAATAATTCCATGCTGTCCACTTATAGCAGGTTAGATCGTGTTGGATGATGATTAATCACTCTACACTCGACTGTCACGTGACTTTTTCAATCTGTTCTCTAGCTGGTCCTGAACGACTATTCGAAACCCTAACCCTCTAATCTGATCCAAACCCTAACCCTAACCCAATCCTTAACAAAAGCATATGCTGAAACCCTAACCCTAACGAGAAATTAGACTGACTTCCTTATACGGTCATATTACGTTATCAAAACAGTTTTCCGCCATTATCTCGCCAGGGGAGCATTTTATCTCATGTTATGGGGATGATTCGGAATCAGCGTCCGAAAATACATCGATTCGAGTTGGTTCCAACTGTCGGGGGCCCTTTAACAATCTCGAAGATCGCGACTGTAGTGATTTAGAACGCTCGGATCGTGCTGTTTGCTGTTAAGTATGATTGTCCGACATATTATAATTTAAAGCAAAACAGAAGTGATTTTCTTATTAAGCTAAAAAATCGATCATATTGGCAGACCCAAAATTCGCATAGTGGCCTTTCAGATTGTGTGAAGGGAGTAAGCAAAGAACTTTTTAAAACAAGATATTCTTGTGAAAATATGAATTTATTTGCGGAAGCGCTCGATTTTCACACTACGGTGTAAATCGACGAAAATATGCGCGGCGTGCAACATTTTGGTTTCATTTTAAAATCATTTTGGCCATAACACATAACACGTAACTGTATTTAATACATTAAATCAATAATATGTATATGGAATAAATTTACTCACGGTATTTCTGTACCAAAATATAAAAATTGCACGCAAACAAAATTTAAATTTTTACCACTTTTTAAATTTTAATCGAAAATAGAAGAAATTTTAAAATAATGACCTTACCTAGCGCGAGATCGCCGATCGGCGAGATGCGCTACTATACTGGGCTTCGCCGAGCTGCAAAAAATGACATCGCGATCGTCAACTGTCAATTAATACCTTGCACTCAGCATGCACTGCATGTTGTAGCGCAATGCACTACTGGGCCGCGCCGCGCTAGTATAGGAAGGATTGACATCGTGAATCAACATGCACTGCTGTTAAATTTTTAAGCTATTTTATGTTATCAAGCTTGCTAGTTGCTAGTTCATTCAGGGACGTAGCCAGGATTTTTCTTTGAGGGGGGCTGTCGGCGAGCGAAGCGAGCCGACGCGTCCAATCAAGCTGCGCAGCGAGCAAGCTGTGGCAGGGGTCTGGGGGCGCAGCCCCTTGGCGGGGGCTAGGGGGGCGCAGCCCCCCGGAAATTTTTTGCGAAACAGGGTGTTTTAGACGACATTTGGCATTAAAGAAATTTGTAGGACAGCAATAAACTGGGATTGAAAAGAATCAAGTACTCACGTAAATTTGGTAACTTCACAACAGCAATCTGCATTCTCCGACTTACTCAGGCCTCATCGTTTTAAGATTTTTACATTTCCTACGGTCTAGGGGACACTATTGACTATAATTATAGAAGTCTTCTAGAATGTTTGCTTGGATTTAATGACATATATTTACCAATCCACAGTTCAAATCTTTGACTGACTGCAGTCATAAACACAGCCCAGTTACCAGGCGACCATGGGGACTAGGGGGCTTATCTTTTTTATGGGGTTCGATTTTTTCCGGGGGGGCTGCCGCCCCCCTAGCCCCCCCCTGGCTACGTGCCTGAGTTCATTCACTATTGCTTGCTACTAGACTCTCATATTCAATATTTTTCATTGTTGGAGGACTTCGCCGCTTCGACGCGCCGCGCGAACTAGCATTCTTGCTTCGCATCGATCGTTGCTCTGCTTCGCAGAGCAACGATCTCGCAGAGCAACGATCTCTCTCATCGTCAACCAATGTTCATTGTTGTTCTAGCTAAACCAACTTGCTATTCGATGTAAAAATTACGCATCTGCATCTGTCTTATTTCTCGGTAAAAATTTAACGGGTGATACACTTAAAATATTTGTTCCAAATATTAGGACCGTCGACGAGTCCAACTCGGCACGCGTCCTGGTAGAGTGGTAGGTTATAAACCTACAAAGTAAAAAGCACAACAACGTGAGCAGCTTTATTGTCGTAGTGCCTTAAAAGTAATCTTAAACGATTCATAGTTCAAGTAGTTATGGAACAAGTTAATGTTATGGAACTATTTCATACGTACGTATTTAACGGGTGATATAAACTGATACTGATCGTAAAATATTTGTTCCAATACCGCGACCGTCGACGAGTCCAGAGTCCAACTCGATGTGCGTCTTTGGCCTCGGTAGGTTATAAATATAAACCTACAACATACAAATTAGTGAAGTCATATTCCCGATCTCAATTTCCTGTCATTCAGTCTAATCTCTGACTCTAATGATTATGAACATAAATATAATAGCCTGAGGTCCCCAGTACAGGTAAGCGACCTCAAACCTGCAACATGCAAGAAAATGTGTATGGCGCGCGTGTTTCGCGCAAAATTACTATAAGTGCTGCACGTGTCGTTAGATTGCACGCTTATGTTTTGCGCGCAAAACTCTCGCAACCAATTGGTTGCACTTTTACTTTCTTGCGCCTGCTGTTTGCAGTTGTAGCGTTGCGTCATGTTGTCATGGTAATGTTGAACTGTGTTAGATTATGATTCTAAGAAGTTTAGAACTGTGATTAATGTATTAATGTATTGTCTAATGATTCCATCAGACAATTACAATCATGCCATCATTGTTTGTCTGCTGTTCGTCACAGTAGTCCAATATCGTTTTGCTAAACATTCTTACTGAGAATCACTCTTATTGAATTTGCACACCATCTTTTTTGTAGTATCGATTGAAAGATCTGTCATGGCACAAAGTGAATTAGCTATCAAAGTTATGAAAGAAGAATTGGAATACTTTACAGGCTTTTATCAGGAGTCGACTGGTAACAATTCTCAAACAGTGCTTTTCTTGTTAATGTTTATAAACTGTTTGATCGAAAATGGCATCAAAGTAGCCATTTGATATCGATAGTCGATACTCTTATCCGTAATTTCATTGAAGGTAAATAAAATGATTTTAATGATAATACCGAAGAATAAAGTGGAGCAATGAACAACTTCATTCACAGTTGATTTCAGATTTCGCTGACACGGTCAACAACGATTCTGTACACTGTCTTGCTCGATTCACTCCGGACGACTGTATACTACGACTTCACCGTCAGAAAGAATCCCATCCAGTCAAAGTATTTGATGATAAAGAACCATTCGAAGTTTTTGATTTGGGAATAGCTGACCTTATTCTCAAGCCTGTTCTAAAAGAGGTACAAATTCGCTTGTTTAACTTTTGGTATTTTTTCTTGTAGAACACTAGAGCAATGCAACATGCGTATATTAGTTATTAAATGTTTACCTGAATTATATTACTAACGCTACAGGAGAAAATAGTAAAGTGTCGGACACAACAGAACTTGAGACTGGTAACAGTTACGAACGTTCCCGGACAAGGTATCAAGAACATAATCTTCCTTTTCTCATCCGCTAAGAGAGCAAAGAACTGGGTCCATTTCGTGAAAATAGCCCAGGAGAACATTGGCCTGGGCAGCATCTCTTACGGGGTAATCTTTAATTGATAAAATGTAGTACGAATCTGCAAATCGTTTTAATCTCTTCGAATCATTTTTTGACAATAATTTGACTTACATCTCTAATGAAATTAAAAACGATCCATGCAAATGACAATAAATGAAGTATGATGAAATTTTCCCATGGTCAGAGGGAGAACAGAAGATTATCAGTAGACCATCACTATGGAGACGGAATGAAGAAGATTGCTAAGGGTTTTGGAGTAAAAGCAGCAGATGTGGTGTCCAGTAGGTTGAGAGAGTTGGAGTCAATCCTGACAGAAAAGGAGGATGAGTACGAGGGGATCCAGGAGGAACTCTTCAAACAAACCAGCAAGTTAGTTTAGAGAAGGAACTCTTGAAACAAACCAGCAAGTCGGTTTAGAGAAGGAACTCTTGAAACAAACCAACAAGTTAGTTTAGAGAAGGAACTCTTGAAACAAACCAGCAAGTTAGTTTAGAGAAGGAACTCTTGAAACAAACCAACAAGTTAGTTTAGAGAAGGAACTCTTCAAACAAACCAACAAGTTAGTTTAGAGAAGGAACTCTTCAAACAAACCAGCAAGTTAGTTTAGAGAAGGAACTCTTCAAACAAACCAACAAGTTAGTTTAGAGAAGGAACTCTTCAAACAAACCAACAAGTTAGTTTAGAGAAGGAACTCTTCGAACAAACCAGAATGTTAGTTCATGAACACTTCTAAACAAACTTACAAATTTGTTTCTCCCACCTTCAGGATAGAAGGGAGAAATGAGAATATCAAGATGAAAGAGAGAGATATCCAGGATATCAAGAAGAAGGTAGAAGCAGCACAACCTCAGAAAAGATACAAATACATCATCCCTTTCGGACACCCACATCTAGAGGAAAGTAAGTTAATTTTAACATGTTGCCTAGTTGAACTGCTGTAAATATATTGGCACGTGATGCCCAAATAAGGTTGTGTGAACTGTTGCTGATGGAATTTATTTATAGATAAGAAGTCTGCAACCATTAACAATTAATTATGCCCTTCGTAGTGACGAATTATACCTTGATTTTCCGTAAATATTAACGACAAAACATAATCGTTATACTAAATGGTAACTATAGCCAGGCCATGGTAACTAAATTCCTCTGCAGAGTCGACATTGGAGAGAATGACAGCTTCAGAAGACACGTGTCGAAAAGTAGCATCAAAAAGTGAGTGATTATCTTCCAATTATACGCTGATTAGTCCCTTATATTAGCAATAAAACTAGTTTCTTCATTTATGGTCGTACATAAACGAGCTATAACATTATTTGATTTGAAAATAAGATAATTGTGGAAAACTACACAGCGAAGGGCATTTTAAGTCGAGTAAATTAGATTAAAATATTTGCTTATTATGAAGAATGTGGCCCAACCAGGAAGAGAAACTTAATTTATTATTCCATCAGGAAGAGAGTCAAGATTAGTGGACTGGAGGAAACACGAAACGCAGAAGGAGGGGGAGATAGGAATAGGATCTCAACTTGTAAAACTAGCTGCTACTGAACTTAGAGAAACAGGTAAGACTATCACGTGACGTCATCACACCGTAACGTGACGTCATTACATTGACTTTTATTACAAGCAGTACTTTATATTATTTGTTGCCAGCTAAATGTTACTCAGTTAACCGATTATTCTAATCTCCCATTATCGCAGGTGCACTGAAATGCTGAATCAAAGCAGTCAAGAAACCAAGGGATTGATACCTTATTAATGCTTTCCAAACAAATTATGTTTTTTAATTTATTGTTATGTTAAGTGAACTCATTTATATTTCTGCAAAGTAATCGTTTTGATTTAATATTAAGTATTAATTCGAATTTTCTTTTTACTGTAGGTTTTGTGATAGCGACATTTTCTTTTCTGTACCGTTATACTATGTACTGTAAATAGTGTTTTCCCAGTGTATAATTTATATAGCTAGTTTCTTCTCACGACTTCTAACGAGTTTCATTTAACCAAACTTTTCCATAAATTAATTTTATCTGAGAAGCTGAGAGTAAAGTTCAACAACAATTTTGCGTAAAACCAATTTTCATAAATTAATTTACAAATTCAAATGTCAAAAGATTTGTCTCATATCTTCACACTAGAAAACTTTGTCTTCAGAAAACTTGTAATTAACGGCAGTAACACAGAGTACAAAAAGTGGACTCATCACATCACACGTGACATGACGTCATACCACGTGACATCACAACATTACACGTGACATGACGTTTCCGCCAGGACACGTGATGATAATCCGAACAACACACAAAACTGGGTTTTAAAAAGCCAATTTATCAACGCTTCATCGACAACTTCAACCAAACAAACTGACTGTTAACAACACTATACTGCACGTGCAAACAGCGTCACAATGCGTGCACGTGCCCACAGTGTAAAACTACGCATATACGGGCACGTTACAAAGCACGTGCAAGATAAAAAACCTGACATTAAGAACCCTTATCTTTTATCACTTGATCAGACATGCACATTAATATATACTCGAATAGTTGCGGAAACCACACACGAATAACGAATCATGAAGTCACAACACGTGTCATGACGTCACAACACATGCCATGACGTCACAACACGTGTCATGAAATCACAACATGGGTGCTCTTTCTTCAATTATTTAATTACGTATATAAATTATCTGATTTCCTAGATTTTTAGTCCCAAAATATATTTACAGCTACAAACTCAGCCTTCAGCACAGGCACGAGACACTATTAAAATATTTAGCTAATTGGGTTAAATTAACTCTTAGTTAGAGGTAGTAACTTGAACGTTAAGAGCTGGTGAAAATATTGAATCTGAAGGTGGACTTCCTTCCTGGCAATCATGACAAATTTAATTTACCGTGATAATTCGCTAATTAATTAATTAATAAATCAGCTATTTGAAACCACAGCCAATAATTTAACCAATCAAAATAAACTTTTAACCTTTAATGTAAATGGGTGATCAAATGATTTTGAGATACAGTCTGTGTGCGCTGATTAAACCAATTAAAGAGTTAATTATTTAATTTTATTCACCTAATTTAATAGGTAATTAGAGTCTGGTAACTCCGCGTTGCTATGGTGACACGCGTTGCTAGGTGAGTGGGGAAGGTGTTGTTGTACCGGGAATCTTATATAGATGTGAACTTCTTGTCTGTCGATTGACTAGCCTGAGGTTAAGGTTAATGGTTAACAATTAGCAGAATTTCAACAATTGAGTTGAAGAACAGATGGTACATGGCCCAGGCCATGGAGCCTTCTAAATGAACAAAACTTTAAAATAATTTGATTTTAATGAACTAAAGTGTAAACATTCCAGCAATATTTTAAGTTTTTAGTTTTTAAATTGATTTCTAGTAACTAAGTCTGAAACATAACAAGCAATAAAGATGTTTTATGAATTTTCTGCTTCCGTTGATTCCAAACTGAGTGAAATACACCATTCCATGCACTATGCAGGCAAGAGTAGCATCCTAATAATCAATAATGGGCAGACAGCACACGGCTAAAACACTGATCCCGAAATTTAAAATAAAACAAGAAGCAGGTCCGGCTAGCACACTGGAATTGAGAAAAACACAAACTGAACACTCAAAAGAGAGAAGAACTGACAAACCACGTGACCTGAAATCAAACCACGTGACATGACGTCAAACACCACGTGACGTGGAAAGTCAGGTGACGAGATAAGAAAGATGAATTTTTCAGAAAAACCCGTTTCTTACCAGCCGATATTTCAGGAATTCGTTAGTCGAGTTTGATTCTCGAAGCTTCTTTGACAAGTCTATCAGTTGATACCGCAACTGCAATTATAGTTTCTCATTGCATCCAATCACAATAGTTACCATAGCAACCGCAAAATTCAGTGTCCGATCAAATATTGACTCGACGAGTGCTCCTTCATAAATCTATTTTGTTCTACAAAGATAATTATCCAGAGGCTTCAAATCTTCAATGCTTCACCTCACCAAGTTGTGAAAAGCAAACAAGTGAAAATCAACTTAATAAAGCAATCATGTAGTTAGCCAGCAATCCAAAACTATGTCTACTAATAAAGACTGAGAATTTCTACTCGGCCCTTTCCTTTTGCCAGCAAGTTACTCTGGTCACCGGCTTGCTAATCGTTTATTGAATCATGTGACCCCGAAATTATCCACGTGACACTCAAACACAACAAGTCACACAACACAACTCCTTTTTAAGTGTAATGTAGCGCTGTTCTTAAATCAGAACTTAAAAGAAAGGGGGGACAGCAAAATGTGATCAAGAAACAAATAAGAAATATCACAGATAATATTTTTAAGGTAAAATGCTGAGAAAGAAAGGGCTTGAGAATAGAAAAAGGTGCACCATGCAACATTCATTACTGTGTGTAAAACAACAAGTTGAAGAGTAACACCTTAATTCTTATCAAGAATATAGATAGTACATTCACCGTTATTACTATTTATAATAACAATCAAACCATTTCAAATATTCAAAATATTGAAGATATTCAAAATATTTCGATAGTTATTAGAAATATAACAAATATGCAAAAAATGCGAATTTACCTCCGCTATCTGACTTTCTTCTGACTGTCCCTTGAGCTCTGTTACCTCTTCTTGCAACTGAGATGGGAAAAAGTGATTAAAATCTTTAAAAATCACCCTTCTAAAGTAGGTAAGAAAATAATTGAAATATACGATAAAAACCACAAAATAATTAATATTTATTATAATATTTATCATGCGTAATCATATTTCATCAGTTTATAGCAGGGATTTGCTTGATTTCCACGTTGATAGCTCTACATGTTACGTTACAGACACACATAGGAAAACTTTAAGACACCAAGACGAAGTGAAAGTGAAAGTGAAAGTGAAACTAGTTTGATGTTACCTGCTGCACCCTTTTCGCAATGACACACGCTTGGTCCAACTTTGACTGTAGCTCTGCTTTTTCAATCTAAAATTTAAACTAGTTTTTTTCTCAGGTTAACAGTTCAGTTTAAAGCAAAACATTTTGAGCGTTGAGTAATCTCTTCAAATACAGAAATACTGGCGAGGAGGTCCAATAAATACACGAAAAAACCAAGTCTCATTTTTCGGTTAAAGTGAAACAAGTGAAAATGACGACAGGAACGCACTGATGCTAAATCACAAAATTTTAGTTAAGTACGAGATCGTACTTTAGACAGTGGATATATCACGTACACGTACGTGTTTGTATGCAGTGGATTATGTGAACAGTGGAAATGAGAAAGATCTATGAAAATGGTGTAACATCTAAGACACCAAGAGGAACAGGCCAGTTATGCAGGATTACCCCCCCCCCCCCCTGTGGTATTCAGGATTACCCAGGCAAACTTGCTCCTCTGATATGTGGCGTACGTGTTTTTTTGGACACGCACATTGTAAAATGACGTCACAACGAAATCAATATTACTAAAGTTAAGGTGAAATGAGGGTGAAGCTGAAATTCTAGGTTGTCATGATAGCAACAAACAGTTAGAATGGGGTGGAATCTTGAAAAGTCAATCACATGGAATGTTTGTTTCTTTTGATTGCCAATTCTAATCACCCAGTTTAGAGCATGCTTTTATCATTCGAAAGAATTCATACGGAAAGTGAGACATCAATAATACTTGAAACATCAATCATGCCCTATCACATACTGTATCAATAGTATTTCAAATGTACAGTGAAATCAGGTCTGTTCATGTGTTGAATTAAAAGTAACTTGTCGACGTGTAAACAGCCGATACGATTGCCCCCAATACATGACGTTGCACTAAAACGCGCACTAAATGCGCGCTCTGCTGGACTAAAAAGTCTGAAACGCAACAAGAGAATGTCGCTGCGCGTTACAAAAACATAAAAGAATATTGTGACACGGACATAGATACGTGGTGAACTTACCGAGTCTGATTTGTCAGCTGCGGGCTCTGACATCTGCTGTTGGAGCTCTTCTTTTTCTGCAGCTAACTGAAAATCACACACAATTACATCCACACTCTTGATTAGATATGGGGAATGTCGAGAGAAATATTTATAATAAAACGAGTCATATTTTTATTGATTAACGTTAGTAATTACCAACTTAATTACATATTTTAAATTTATATTGTTTGTAACGTGGAATTTACCTGAGCGATTTCTGAATTCTTTGAGGAAAGTTTTTCTTGGAGAAGTGACACGTCACTGTTAGCCTGAATTAAATTGCAATTAGTTAAAATCAAATCATATAATTCTTGATAAAAGTGGGCTTCTTTAACCAGTATCCCATATGAAATTTGAATTTATCAATTTATTTATTAAATAAGTTTGGCACAGAGTCCAGCGAAAGCGATTGTTGATGTTTGAATCAAAGAAACTGTAATGTTGATAATTGAGTCTGAATCATTTGAATTGTGAGATATTTGAGTGAAATAAACTATGAAACGAAAAGCAGTGCAGCAATAATCAATGTAAGCTTAAAAGCAACAAATAGCAGGAAAATGGGTAAAAATAGGTGAACATGAAAGGAGGAACATGTTTCATTTAAAAGCAACAAAAAAAACGATGATAAACACTGTTACTATCACGATTTGTAAGTTCCATTTTTTTACCAATCTAAAGGGGCTGAAATTCAGCAAAAAACCAACTTGCGATAAAACCATGCACACTCCAACACACTACAGCAAACACTGCACTGGTAAAACACGCAAATACACACGCTTTAAACGCAAATACACGCAATTACACACTGCCCTCGCACCTCCCGTAGAAGCTTATTCATCATGTTATTTCGCTCCTGCTCCTCAATTAGCTGATTCTTATTTTTCAGCATAGCTCCGTTTACCTTATATAGTTAAATGTCAGTGTAATTACTGTGGTTAATGCTTGACAATGCTGGATTTCTGCCAAAAAACTAAACAGCAAAGACAAAAGAAAACAAGGAGAGTTGTTTCATGTAATTTATTCATGGCTAATTGCAAATAAACCCCGGCTTAAACCTGGCTAAAAACAAACACTTACAAATCTCATGATCACACATTCTCGAGAATCAGCATTTAAAAAACTCATTCTTAACGAACACTGCAGAGATGATTACATTGTTTGAAGCTTTAAATTCACTCTCACATATTTGAAGTGCCTCAAATGCCTCTCTGATGTAAATACCAAACATCAAGCATACACTAAACACTGCACGTTAATATGAAACTTGTCCCACATCCACTAACACGACAAACTGGCCGAGAGGAAATTTAAAACTTGTCGGATGTACGTGTCAGTACGTGTTATACCTGTATGTAAGTACGTGTAATTCTATGTGTAATTCTAGCTGTGTGTACGTGGTTTAACGTGATTTAGCCACATCATCAAACCAGACTAGTGTTAGAGTAACACATTTAGCAGACTGATTTGAAACAGCTCAAGGAATTTGTCTGACAAATGAAATGGAAGTATAAACTGTCTAGAATAATATTTACCCTATTTAGGACGCTAGATTAATGTACATATCTAGAATCTAGATACATGTATACATCTAGTGCTGCAGTAGTACTAGGTCAGTTGTTCGTCATGTTTCCAGAATATTCTAGAACTTAAGCATAATCACGTGTTTTTATAAAGCCTCTAGAACATCCATTGTTATCAATTCTAATCTTCCAGAATTCCACACAGTGGTTAATGGACACTTCAAAAAGAAATTCTTAATTTGTGATTCAGTAAACATGTAATTCTTCTGATCTGATAAAAAGAGCTCTTGATTCTATACCACGAATAATGTATACAGCAAGTAAATAGCAAGTATATCGCGAGTATAATGTATATAATAGCAAATTTATAGCAGCCAACCAGAACCAAACATTTCACAGCAAAACGAACCAATATAAAATGCAGAAGTTTGACTGTACTATGATCTGTTAACTATGAGCTAATTAGTCTGAACCAATTAAAAGAGAGTATGTGTCTAACAGTACATTGTAATTAGGGGTATTGTGTGGTCTGTTTAAGTTACAGTTACTGCACTGTATTATGTCTTATACTACACTTGAATAATGCTACACTTGCCACTGCTTACTTTCGTACTGGTACTGGTACATTCTTATCGCAAAATTTGAATTCATTACCACACAGTAAGATTGACATCATTTGTTTTTGCGACAAAAAGTGTGTTACAAACTAAACTCTAACGAAAGCTATGTTCATCATCAAAGTAAAGATTGATAGTCACATTATAAGATAAGGTACTGATACACAAGCCCTGATCACACTGTTGCCATGGTGCAGTGATCACACAAGTAGTGGTGAGACACACTGTAGCCATGGTGATCACACAAGTAGTGGTGAGACACACTGTTGCCATGGTGATCACACAAGTAGTGGTGAGACACACTGTTGCCATGGTGATCACACAAGTAGTGGTGAGACACACTGTAGCCATGGTGATCACACAAGTAGTGCAGTGGTGAGACACACTGTTGCCATGGTGATCACACAAGTAGTGCAGTGGTGAGACACACTGTTGCCATGGTGATCACACAAGTAGTGGTGAGACACACTGTTGCCATGGTGATCACACAAGTAATGGTGAGACACACTGTTGCCATGGTGATCACACAAGTAATGGTGAGACACACTGTTGCCATGGTGATCACACAAGTAGTGCAGTGGTGAGACACACTGTTGCCATGGTGATCACACAAGTAGTGGTGAGACACACTGTTGCCATGGTGATCACACAAGTAGTGGTGAGACACACTGTTGCCATGGTGATCACACAAGTAGTGGTGAGACACACTGTTGCCATGGTGATCACACAAGTAGTGGTGAGACACACTGTTGCCATGGTGATCACACAAGTAGTGGTGAGACACATTGTTGCCATGGTGATCACACAAGTAATGGTGAGACACACTGTTGCCATAGTGATCACACAAGACAATAACACACAAACAAAGCAGCAAGTTAACCAGAGGATTTATAATGTAAAGTATATTATTATATATATATTTGTAGTAGGGGGGGGGGGGGGCAGTAAGTAGCCTAAAATCAATACACAAGGTTTAAAGCTGTTTCTTAGCAATAAAAATCACTTAAAAAGTTACAAATACAAGTTACAAGTATAAGCTAGGCTGTCTCAGGGATCATATTTAGTGCACAAATATTAACATTTTAGTAAAGAGCCGCACAGTTTAACACTATAACAGCATTTAGCATTATAACAGCTAGCGAGGTATCTAAACCCCACCTTACATTGCCTCCCTCTACATAGTGGGACAGAAAGCAGACTGTTATAGTAACCTAGTTAGCAGGTGGAGTTATTGTTATCTGGTTTATATCTCCCGTAGTATGTAGATATTACCAGCTATTATACTGTGACACAGCATGACACAGCGCCGCGCTGTTCCACTATCATGTACAGTGGGGTGCCATATGTTTTAAAGAAATGTCACACCCTTTGTGACACTAACTCGTTATGTCACAGTTTGTCACGCATTGGTTATGTCACACCATGTCACACATTGGTTACCATGACAACTAAATACCTGTTGTAATTGTGTAAGGGTCTGAGCGTGCCATTTCTGTTCCATATCGTTAGCTTTCTGTAACTGTGAGTACACAGTGTCAATTACACAGTGTCAATTACACAGTGTCAATTACACAGTGTCAATTACACAGTGTCAATTACACAGTGTCAATTACACATTGTCAATTACACAGTGTCAATTACATAGTGTCAATTACAGTGTCAATTACACAGTGTCAATTACACAGTGTCAATTACACAGTGTCAATTACACAGTGTCAATTACACAGTGTCAATTACACAGTGTCAATTACACAGTGTCAATTACACAGTGTCAATTACAGTGTCAATTACACAGTGTCAATTACACAGTGTCAATTACACAGTGTCAATTACACAGTGTCAATTACACAGTGTCAATTACACAGTGTCAATTACACAGTGTCAATAATCCAGTGCTGTGTATTTGCACACAGTTATAACTGAAGCTGAGTAAAGGTAGGACAGTGGTAAGACGACTGAAGCAGAGGATAAGTAAAGAAGTATATCTATATTGAAATAGCACCGGGACACTTCAAGACATCAACTAGTTTAGTTACATCGGTATAGAGATAACAGATATATGAGAAAGAACTAGTATATAAATGTGACACTTCTTAATAAAACTAGCAGCAAACGACAACCTAACAGCTTATCCGAGCAAACCACATCTAGTAAAAAATAAACTCAACATTAAATAAGCAAAATAAACGCTAAAAAGAACAGGGTGATAGTGATATATAATGAGGTCGTGACAATCCTTATCAGGGTAATTAGAAAATGAACAGTCGCTGAAAAAAGGCTACAACACTAAATTATTTTCAAAACTTGTAACTTAAATTATTATATAACTACTCTAATCAGCCTTATTATTAACTTAATTACTAACTTATAGCTTGTTTATTACTAATTGATTAGCAACAAATTTCTAACTAATTACTAATTAATTACTAATTAATTACTAATTAATTACTAATTAATTACTAATTAATAACTTACTGTGTCTACATCAGCACTTTTGTTTCCCTGCTGACTAAGATTATCCTCAGCCTGAAATAACGTTTGTTATGCACAATTTCAATTTCAATTACTAATAATTACTATTATGATTTAATCAGTAAACTAATTATCATATCGAATAATGAATTAATTAATAACCTCAATAAGCTTGAGAAGTATCTCACTAATTAATTAATTACCTCATTAAGCTTGAAAAGTATCTCACTAATTAATTAATTACCTCATTAAGCTTGAGAAGGGTCTCACTATGCCACCTCTTCTCGCTCTCCAGTTTCTCCCCCATGTCTGTTATAGTTTGTCTCTCCGCCTGGAGTAGAGCTTCTGTCTCTGTTAAAGTCTGTTTTACGGACTCCAGTTCAGCAGTGGCGGTGTCCAGTGCGCTGGAGTATGTGGTCTGAGAGGCTAGCTTCTGTTCTAGTTCCTCTACCCTCTCTCGCTCCTGAGTGGTTAGTTTGAGTTATGTGACTAGAATACAGCTATCTGAGTGGTTAGTTTGAGTCATGCGACTAGAATACAGCTATCTGATTGGTTTAGTAAAGGTTGTATATATCATAAAGACCTCTAAACTTACCATTTTGAGGTCATTTCGTTTCTCCTCCAAGTCCTTCTCCCACTTCTGAAGATCAGACTCAAACTTAACTTGGAGTTGGGTCAGAATCTCCTCTGTCTTACTCAAAACTTCCTGATAATTAATTAATTGATTAATTAGATAATAACTCAGATTCCACGAAATTGGTCGGTCGAACAATAACACAGTTGTGTAAATGCTTCATATCATTTAGATAGCGCAATTGCTAGAATACAGCGCTCTGATTGGTTAGTTTGAGTAATGTGACTAGAATACAGCGCTCTGATTGGTTAGTTTGAGTTATGTGACTAGAATACAGCGCTCTGATTGGTTAGTTTGAGTTATGTGACTAGAATACGGCGCTCTGATTGGTTTCAGTCGTTTGACGTATTGCAGACACAACATTGAAGACTAGTACTTTAAATGATGTAGTAAACTAACAATAGCGTGTAAATAGCAGACACGAATATATATTAACTACTAAGTGATAATATGACTTAGTTCTAACTTTTAACGTTATACATGATACGGCTGAATTACGGAGATGTAGTACATATGTTTAATGTGCAATATTGTAAGTGATAAGTTTATAGTTCGCAGGACTAGATGAGAATTAAAGTGATGTTATAACCGAGTGATTCTTTCAAACAAAAGTCGAGTGATAAACAATCTTACTTATAATTCGAAAGATTATGTATGTTTGTCGTTTGTACGCCCAAGTGCAAATTAGATGAGAAATAGGAAGTTAGGTAAAAACCAAAAGGTTGCATATAGGTGCACGTGTAAAGATTGCTGGAACGGCATTTTGATCGGTTTTGTGGCAATTAAATTGTGTTTAAAGTGTTTTAGATTTAAATCGGCTGTATCTTCGGTTAAGATGAACATTTTTTGATGCAAATAAAACTTTCTTTCAAAGAACACTACTAGCTTCATCCCTGTTACTGCGGGCTTTCTAGTATCATATAATATTAAAGAACTTCTGATTTTAGGCGATAGAATATATGAAAAAAATTCCGTTTCGCAGTAGGGCTGACTTACTTAAACAACTTTATATTAAAACTGAATTGCAACTGAGCAAGAAAACAAATAAGAGCCTAGCATTTGGAATTGATTTAAGCGCTGAGTGATGTCCCTAAATTGAACATGATGCATTATATGTGTTCAGTTTGAGTCACGTGACTAGAATACAGCTATCTGATTGGTTAGTTTGAGTCACGTGACTAGAATACAGCGATTTTTAGCAGTACCTCTCTGCCTTTTTCCACACAATGAGTCTGAATGGTTGAAGTGATTTATGAAGGAGTATGTTAAAAAACGTATGATATACAGGGTGCAAAGAAATTTAGAGAACAGTCCAAGGAGGTCAACCAGAACAGGGAGCTTAAGTAATCGACAACTTCAGTTTGGGGAATTTTGAGGAAAGAGCTGAAGAAGTTTGCCTAAAAAATTCAAATCAAACAGACACAAACTCCAAAAAATAGAGAACAAAAGACCGAATTTGGCAGCATGATGGCTGATCGCATCGAATCTGACTCAGAATTCTTGAAACAGATATTTTTTTCAGATGAGGCTCATTTTCATCTGAGCGGTCATGTCAATCGCCAAAATTGTAGGTTTTGGGCAGATGAGAACCCCCATGCAACAGTTGAGTCGCTTATCACTAGAGGGAAAGTCACAGCTTGGATGGGGATCGGGTATCATGGTATTTTTCTCAAAATTCGACTTTTTGGAACAGAGCCAAAAAAAATTAACAAAGTTGAATTGCTGGAACAAATGAGCTTAACAAATTAAATTTGTAAGTTTTATAAACTAATGGCAACCGATAATGGGCATTTTGCTCCTTTATAAAAAAATGTATTGGTTTTTAAAATCAGGACATTATTTTTGAAACACCCTGTAAGACATATTCCGTCATATTAGCGACATTTTCGGACGTGAGAAGAATGAGGACTCCTCAAATATAAATGCTAATGAACAAATGAGTGTGTAATAAGTTATCATATCAACTTGATCGATCAATTAACTAATTAATAATAGATAAATAATTATAATTAATACAATAATAATATAGTTAATAAATCACTAATATTTACCTGGTATTTCTTGGCATCAGCCTGGGCTCGGTCACGGTCCTTGATGGCCACTTGTAATTTCTGAAATGGACATCGGTTAAATTAACACGTGGTATGACGTCATTAATAACATGACTTCATAATAACACGTGATGTCACTACAAAATCAACTTTACTACACAATGTAGCAGCTTCAGGTTCTTTTCTCATGAGTGTCTATTTAAATAATAACCTCAACAGTTTCCATTCAACGAGTTATGTTACTTCACACACACCACGTGACACACACCACGTGACACACACCACGTGACACACACCACGTGACAAGCGAATATTATAATGATGGCGGGAATATTGAGAGCGGGAAATTCAAGTTATGAAGAAGACTTTTACAAGTGAGACGTGTTTTTAGTTACCAGTAGTGGGGTAACACTGTGTAGTTATGTGTTATATATAATCTGCTTTTAAACGTTTGTAAACAGACGTTGAGTAGTAGTGGGGAGGGGAGTAATGTGGGGAGGGGGGTAGTGGGGAGTAGTAAAGTAGTAAGGGTAGTGGGGAGGGTGTAGTGGGGAGGGGGCGGGAGGTAGTGGGGAGTAATAGGGGTAGTGGGGAGGGGGGGTAGTGGGGAGGGGGTAGTGGGGAGGGGGGTAGTAAGGGTAGTGAGGAGGGCCAGGGGGGTAGTGGGGAGGGGGGTAGTGGGGAGGGGGGAGGGGGTAGTGGGGGTAGTGGGCAGGGGGGTAGTGTGGAGGGGGGAGGGGAGTAATGGGGGTAGTGGGGAGGGGGGTAGTGGGGAGGGGGAGGGGAGTAATGGGGGTAGTGGGGAGGGGGGTAGTGGGGAGGGGGTAGTAGTAAGGTAGTGGGGAGGGGGGTAGTGGGGAGGGGGGAGGGGGTAGTGGGGGTAGTGGGCAGGGGGGTAGTGTGGAGGGGGGAGGGGAGTAATGGGGGTAGTGGGGAGGGGGGTAGTGGGGAGGGGGTAGTAGTAAGGTAGTGGGGAGGGGGGTAGTGGGGAGGGGGGTAGTGGGGAGGGGGGTAGTGGGGAGGGGGTAGTAGTAAGGTAGTGGGGAGGGGGGTAGTGGGGAGGGGGGAGGGGGTAGTGGGGGTAGTGGGCAGGGGGGGTAGTGTGGAGGGGGGAGGGGAGTAATAGGGGTAGTGGGGAGGGGGGGTAGTGGGGAGGGGGTAGTGGGGAGGGGGGTAGTAAGGGTAGTGGGGAGGGCCAGGGGGGTAGTGGGGAGGGGGGTAGTGGGGAGGGGGGAGGGGGTAGTGGGGGTAGTGGGCAGGGGGGTAGTGTGGAGGGGGGAGGGGAGTAATGGGGGTAGTGGGGAGGGGGGTAGTGGGGAGGGGGAGGGGAGTAATGGGGGTAGTGGGGAGGGGGGTAGTGGGGAGGGGGTAGTAGTAAGGTAGTGGGGAGGGTGGAGTAGTGGGGGTAGTGTAACCTAAACACACACACACACACACACACAGATTATGTAACAACATACAGTTGCTAAACAGTTACCACCAGTCACCACCCTCACTGACCTCTAACAATTACCTCACATACAGCCTCACTGACCTCTAACAATTACCTCACATACATCCTCACTGACCTCTAACAATTACCTCACATACAGCCTCACTGACCTCTAACAATTACCTCACATACAGCCTCACTGACCTCTAACAATTACCTCACATACAGCCTCACTGACCTCTAACAATTACCTCACATACAGCCTCACTGACCTCTAACAATTACCTCACATACAGCCTCACTGACCTCTAACAATTACCTCACATACAGCCTCACTGACCTCTAACAATTACCTCACATACAGCCTCACTGACCTCTAACAATTACCTCACATACAGCCTCACTGACCTCTAACAATTACCTCACATACAGCCTCACTGACCTCTAACAATTACCTCACATACAGCCTCACTGACCTCTAACAATTACCTCACATACAGCCTCACTGACCTCTAACAATTACCTCACATACAGCCTCACTGACCTCTAACAATTACCTCACATACAGCCTCACTGACCTCTAACAATTACCTCACATACAGCCTCACTGACCTCTAACAATTACCTCACATACAGCCTCACTGACCTCTAACAATTACCTCACATACAGCCTCACTGACCTCTAACAATTACCTCACATACAGCCTCACTGACCTCTAACAATTACCTAACATACAGCCTCACTGACCTCTAACAATTACCTCACATACAGCCTCACTGACCTCTAACAATTACCTCACATACAGCTTCACTGACCTCTAACAATTACCTCACATACAGCCTCACTGACCTCTAACAATTACCTCACATACAGCCTCACTGACCTCTAACAATTACCTCACATACAGCCTCACTGACCTCTAACAATTACCTCACATACAGCCTCACTGACCTCTAACAATTACCTCACATACAGCCTCACTGACCTCTAACAATTACCTCACATACAGCCTCACTGACCTCTAACAATTACCTCACATACAGCCTCACTGACCTCTAACAATTACCTAACATACAGCCTCACTGACCTCTAACAATTACCTCACATACAGCCTCACTGACCTCTAACAATTACCTCACATACAGCTTCACTGACCTCTAACAATTACCTCACATACAGCCTCACTGACCTCTAACAATTACCTCACATACAGCCTCACTGACCTCTAACAATTACCTCACATACAGCCTCACTGACCTCTAACAATTACCTCACATACAGCCTCACTGACCTCTAACAATTACCTCACATACAGCCTCACTGACCTCTAACAATTACCTCACATACAGCTTCACTGACCTCTAACAATTACCTCACATACAGCCTCACTGACCTCTAACAATTACCTCACATACAGCTTCACTGACCTCTAACAATTACCTCACATACAGCCTCACTGACCTCTAATAATTACCTCACATACAGCCTAACTCCAAAAAATTTAACTCATATAATACAGGTCGGCTCTGCAACAGTCACCTTACTCATATTACTAATATTGAGTATATTCTAGTGCAGTTAATTTATAATATTCAAGTTCTGGTGAAAGTGTGGAGTTTTGTACGTGATATTTGCTACTCCTGTTGAGCTAACAACTGTTAATATTATAGCACTACAGCTGTTACTTTTTACAGGGTTTCTTGCCAGTTACTGAGACGTGTACAAGTTGTGAAATTAATTACTGCAGTGTAAGATCTAATAGGGCGTCAATATGGGGTCTAATAGGGCGTCAATATGGGGTCTAATAGGGCGTCAATGAGGGGTATAATATGGTGTCAATACGGGGTCTGATAGGGCGTCAATATGGGGTCTAACAGGGCGTCAATATGGGGTCTAACAGGGCGTCAATATGGGGTCTAATAGGGCGTCAATATGGGGTATAATAGGGCGTCGATATGAAGTATAATAGGGCGTCGATATGGAGTTTTATAAGTCTTCAATATGGAGTCTAATAAGGCGTCAATATGGGGTCTAATAGGGCGTCAATATGAGGTCTAATAGGGCGTCAATACGGGGTCTAATAGGGCGTCAATATGGGGTCTAATAGGGCGTCAATATGGGGTCTAACAGGGCGTCAATATGGGATCTGAATGAGGTGATCACGTGTAATAAAACCGTGCAAAGCCTCCCCAAATAGTATTATATCTACCTGTTTATATGTGCTGGGCATGTTTGGAATGCTTGGTGACGTCACGAAGTGGACTAAAGGACGGATATGTTTATAAACTTAACTAACTGAACTAGACAAATGGTTATAAACTTCAGTAACTTATAAATTACACAAAAAATAACAAGCAGTATAAACTAGAAGTAGCCGAGTAAGAAAAGTGGTAAATTGCGCCCTGTGTTAGGTAAAATACGTCCCAACACCGGGTAATAAGCGGAAAAAAATAGCAGTCACGTGACTTGAATACAGCTCTCTGATTGGCTGGTATGTGCCACGTGACAGGAATGGAGCCTTGTGATTGGTCGTCAGCGGGGTTACCCAGCGGACACTACACACAATGCAGAACGAGTAATGCTGTAGTCCAGAACACGCACAATCGGATTTACTCTGCACTTGTACAGCATAATAACTTGACACGTGACAAAACGGTACTGCACGCTGATTAGCCAGCCAGGTGCACGTGGGCAGGCTCCTGTGGTCTGATTGGCTGGAGGAAAGGACGGAGGAAAACCGTATTATTGGCTGGCTATGCAGTTGGGTTTGAAAGTGAGAATGTTGTGAAAATGACGTGTTGGGGCACTGCTCGCTGATTAGCTGTTCTCAGTCAAGTTAATTGAATACTGTCTTCTTATTGGCTAGTTCGCATCACGTGACTTAAACACTGCATTGTGATTGGTTGGGAGCAATGTTACGTTGTTGACGTTTATTTGACAGTTAGTACTCGCTGCTCCCCTGTTTAAATGTATATCTGCAGTAACTCGACTAGTATTACTAGTACACACTGTCACACTGTCACACTGTCACACTGTCACAACCACTGTTTCTATGGTCACTGCTCTAATACCTTAAATAAACAAGCTGCAGATATTACAGTAGTTTATTTAAGTTAGTTCCGTTACCATGGTTACTATTTATGTTTAAAATGCTGGTTTTGCGGATGACATTGCTCTGATAGCAGATACTGTAAAGTCTATCAAGATCAGAGTGTTTACAGCACTATAACTAGTCGAGTCGGTACTTTTGTGCGGTTCCGAGACTTGGACTATGACGAAAAGGCTAGAGAAGATGGTTGATGGTTGCTATACGCGAATGTTAAGAATGGCCCTTAACATCAATCAATATCGAGACCATGTCAGCAACCACAGCCTGTACGGTGATCTTCCCAAAGTCAGCTCCAAGATAACCCAACGAAGGCTCAGACTTGCAGGTCATGCTCAGTGCTCACCGACACTGAACAAACTGATCCTCTGGAAGCCGAGTCATGGGCATACTAACAGGGGGCGACCTTACTTAACACTACTAGATAACCTAAAAGCAGATACTGGGCTGAAGTCAGTAGATGAGATAGCTAGACTGATGGAGGACAGAAAGCTGTGGAGAACTGTTGGCAATGGATCTCGGGAACACTACCCGCCTTAAGTCAGTAAGTCAAGTAATTATGCTGTGGATAATTGAGCACTGTATTACAAGTAATTGATAAACAAAAGAGCGGGTAAAGATCGCGAAGTACAGTATTAAACAGTACATTAATATACAATGTATACTAATGTACTGTTTAATACTGTACTTCGCAATCTTTACCTGCAATGTATACTTCATGTAAAATCAGTGGACAATGAAAACCATTCACACGTAACCATTTTGCAACAAATAACACGACATCACGTGACGTCATCACACCATAACGTGACGTCATCATACTATCGTGTGACGTCATCACACTATCAAGTGACGTCATCACACTATCAAGTGACGTCATCGCACCATAACGTGACGTCATCACACTATCAAGTGACGTCATCACACTATCAAGTGACGTCATCACACTATCAAGTGACGTCATCGCACCATAACGTGACGTCATCACACTATCACGTGAGACTGACCTGATCGTCAGCTAGTGTAGCTTGCAGTTCTGATATTTTAGCGCTGAGAGCTTCGCGTTCCTCTTTAATTGAATCCAACTCTGTTTTTAGTGAATCCATCTGTCGGGAGATAAGTGTAAAGTATTCAAGTAGTGTGATCTACAATCACTACACCACGTGACCTACAATCACTACACCACGTGACCTACATTGTTATCATTATCAGCAAAACTCCTCAAGTTTTATAAATACATAATAACTGACCTCCTCGCTGCTCTGTTGTACAGGAGCCACTTCTACAATGCTCTCCTTAGCCTCCTTCACAATCTCTTCCAGTTCAGACACCTTAGCGCTCAAACTGTCCCTCTCTGTCTTCAGTGCATCCATCTAAGTGGTGGTTTTGTTAGAATACAACTCTTTGATTGGTTAGTTGGTGTCATGTGACTAGAATACAGATCTCTGATAGGTTAATTTATATCTATCCAGTCAAACAGTACTAAAGATTTATAAAGAAGTAATTTTGGCAGGAAGAAAGCTTTACGATACGATGAGGAATTGTGTGATTTCTACACAAAAACTAATCTGATGATTAAACAAAATGTTCAATGATTTCATTTTAAATCATTTTGATAAATCAATTAATTAGTTAATCACCTCTTCGGAGGCAGGAACAGGGGTAACTTCAACGATGTTTTCTTGTGCTGCCTTCAGGGCCTCCTCAAGCTCCGAAACCTGAATATAAACATGTTATCACGTAAAATACAGCTCTCTGATTGGCTAGTTAGTACAACGTGACTAAAATACAGCTCTCTGATTGGATAGTTAATAATAATAATAATAACTAGAAATTTATACATCGCTTTAAAGCCAAAAAGAGTTCTCAAAATCCAAAGATTCAGTTCAAGCCATCTAAAGCGACTCATGAACATGTGCACAAGAACTTAGCATTTTATGAGATATGGGTTTTTATGAGGAAGTTATTTTATGAAACTTATATGAATATAACGTGTCTAAAATACAGCTCTCTGATTGGTTAGTTATGAATTATGGTTAGTACCTTGCCGCTCAGCTCATCTCTTTCTCCCTGCATTTGAGTCATCTGTGCTTTAGCAGACTCGTACTCATCCTTTACAGCAATCAACTGTGTTTCTGCTACCTGCAAATAACATGACGTCATTATACTGTCACTTGACGTCACAACACTTTAACGTGACGTCATAATACAGTAAGATGACGTCATAATACTATTATTTAACAGATCACATACCTGGAGTTGTTCAGCTATCTCCGCGGAAATATCAACAGTGCTGGACATTGAGCTCTCTGAAGGAGCTTGCTCCAGCTCACTGATCTTTTCCTTGGCTGCTTTCACCTGCCAAATCAAGTGTTAAACCAGTGGTAACTCTTGTTTAACAGTAAACAGTGTAAACTCTACCTGGGTACCAGTAAACACGATCAAAGCACTACAATATGATAACAGATAGTGTCACGTGACGTCACACTACACATGTCACGTGACGTCACACTATACATGTCACGTGACATCACACTACGCATGTCACGTGACATCACACTACACATGTCACGTGACATCACACTACGCATGTCACGTGACGTGATAGATTCTGACCTCTGACTGTAGCGTCTCGATCTGTGCCTTAAGGGATTCCACCTCATCGACCTCTTCAGCGGCAGCTTCTTCTGCGACAACCTCTTCAGCAACAACCTCTTCAGCGGCAGCCTCTTCTGATTCCTCAGGTGCAACTTCAGATGCAACAGGTGCTTCTTCAGTAACTGGTGCAACTTCTTCTTCATCGCTATCTTCAGCAGCAGGATCACTGGACTTAGCGACCACTTCCACTTCCACCTAGGAAATTGAGATGAGAGCATTGCTAACTGATTGTTGGTTTAAATCATGTGACTAGAATACAGCCCCCTGATTGGTTGGTTCAAATCATGTGACTAGAATACAGCCCCTGATTGGTTGGTTCAAATCATGCGACTAAAATACAGCCCCCTGATTGGTTGGGTCAAATTATGTGACTAGAATACAGCCCCCTGATTGGTTGGTATCGTTACAAGTACTCACCTCGCTTTGAGCAGCAGCAAGTTCAGTAGAGACCACACTGTCGACATGCACTGCAAGTTTGGTCTGCAGCGCAGCGCGTTCAGCAGTCAGGGAGTCAACTTCAGCACGCAGTGTTACTAATTCCTCACTCTGTGATTCCAGCGTGCTCTTTGCGCTGTCGTACTCAGCTACATATCCTGTGGGGACAAGTGCTACTTTATATGTAGGATTTTGCTAGGATTTAAACCGTCTGTATATTTCAACTATATTGCACCTTAATTGGTTAACAATAGCTACAATACTAAAATAGAGCACCCTGATCGGTTAACTAGAATACTAAAATAGAGCACCCTGATTGGTTAACTAGAATACTAAAATAGAGCACCCTGATTGGTTAACTAGAATACTAAAATAGAGCACCCTGATCGGTTAACTAGAATACTAAAATAGAGCACCCTGATTGGTTAACTAGAATACTAAAATAGAGCACCCTGATTGGTTAACTAGAATACTAAAATAGAGCACCCTGATTGGTTAACTAGAATACTAAAATAGAGCACCCTGATTGGTTAACTAGAATACTAAAATAAGCACCCTGATTGGTTAACTAGAATACTAAAATAGAGCACCCTGATTGGTTAACTACAATACTAAAATAGAGCACCCTGATTGGTTAACTAGAATACTAAAATAGAGCACCCTGATTGGTTAACTAGAATACTAAAATAAAGCACCCTGATTGGTTAACTACAATACTAAAATAGAGCACCCTGATTGGTTAACTAGAATACTAAAATAGAGCACCCTGATTGGTTAACTAGAATACTAAAATAGAGCACCCTGATTGGTTAACTAGAATACTGAAATAAAGCACCCTGATTGGTTAACTACAATACTAAAATAGAGCACCCTGATTGGTTAACTACAATACTAAAATAGAGCACCCTGATTGGTTAACTAGAATACTAAAATATAGCACCCTGATTGGTTAACTAGAATACTAAAATAGAGCACCCTGATTGGTTAACTAGAATACTAAAATAGAGCACCCTGATTGGTTAACTAGAATACTAAAATAGAGCACCCTGATTGGTTAACTACAATACTAAAATAGAGCACCTGATCGGTTAACTAGAATACTAAAATAGAGCACCCTGATTGGTTAACTAGAATACTAAAATAGAGCACCCTGATTGGTTAACTAGAATACTAAAATAGAGCACCCTGATTGGTTAACTAGAATACTAAAATAGAGCACCCTGATTGGTTAACTAGAATACTAAAATAGAGCACCCTGATTGGTTAACTAGAATACTAAAATAGAGCACCCTGATTGGTTAACTAGAATACTAAAATAGAGCACCCTGATTGGTTAACTAGAATACTAAAATAGAGCACCCTGATTGGTTAACTAGAATACTAAAATATAGCACCCTGATTGATTAACTTGCCTTGGAGTTTCTCCAGTTCAGATTTGAGAGCGACAGTTTGGGCCTGAGCCTCGACCAGAGCACTGTCAGTAGCGGAGACAGTAGATAGCTGGTTCTCTATGGTATGGATCTGAGCTTTCTGTGTGGCGATCTGATAATAGTCGCTGTATTATTGGTCGGTTTCTGTCACGTGACAAGAATAGAGATATTTGTCTGGTTTTACGTCACGGTTTAGTTTCTGAGAACAGTTCTGTTTACAGCCATGTGACGAGGGAGAATTATATTGAAAAACAAGTAAAAACTTACGCAATCCTCCTTGTCCAGTAGTTTCTTCTCCAGTGAGTTAACTTGTTGAATCTGCCTCTCAAGGTCGTGGTAAGAGTCCTTACTTTCTTGTAACTCCTCCTGTAACGCCATGTTACGTTAATTACTAGCATATGTTACGTTACTTACTGGCACGCGTTACGGTAATTAATGGCACGTGTTACGCTAATTAATGGCACGTGTTACGCTAATTAATGGCACGTGTTACGGTAATTAATGGCACGTGTTACGTTAATTGATGGCACGTGTTACGTTAATTACTGGCACGTGTTACGTTAATTGATGGCACGTGTTACGTTAATTAATGGCACGTGTTACGCTAATTAATGGCACGTGTTACGTTAATTGATGACACGTGTTACGTTAATTGATGACACGTGTTACGCTAATTAATGGCACGTGTTACGCTAATTAATGGCACGTGTTACGTTAATTGATGACACGTGTTACGTTAATTGATGGCACGTGTTACGTTTGTTGAGTGTTATGGAAGTGCGTTATGGAAGTGCTATTCAATTGCGTCCCTTTAGACTTTAGAGTATTGAGGCAAATTGATTGAAATTAGTAAAAATATCATAGTTTTAAATATCTTTTTGAGAAATTAATAAGTCTGTGGCTGTTTACTTTATTCTGATTGGTAACATGAAACAGACAAAACAAAACACAGACATTAGACAATAATTAATAATTAACAATGCCGATTAGCACTTATCATATATGCATATATGCTTTTACTAAAACCGAAGATTTAGGCTTTAATGAATATGACTGGAAATAAACAAGTCATTTTAACAAATAAAAATAGCGAATAAAGCGGAAACAGAGGCTGCTTAAGAAAAAACATATAAATGATTGATGCTAACAGTCGAATCAGGATCAACATATAAAAACACAGAAATGAAATGTGCTAAGCTAAGGAAGGAAATAGGTGCGGCTTCAGGCTATTTTAAGATAATACAGAAATATCATTTTATTTGCTGTCACAAGATTATTAAATTTTCTGTTTTAAAATTGTCTTACATTATCTCACAATTACCAAAATTAAACAACCTAAGTTAAGTTTGTCAGTTACAATATAAACCCACACTCCAGCACACCACTCGTAACCTGACACCTAATCTAATATCTTCTCTTCAAGAATTTGAGTTTTACTGGGATTACTGCAGGGATCAAGGAACTCTAATTTAAAGCGTCATGTTAGTATTGCTGGGCAAAGGGTTGAAAGTCGGCCATTAACCGGCCATTAACCGGCTCTTAGACGTCTCTCAACCACTTAGACAATAGACACTAGCAGCTACTGTGCTAAAGTTTTTATTATGTCAAAGATTTTACCAGCGCATATATAGCATTTAAAAGAGTTAGCAAGACTTTTTAAAGACTTATTAAAGACTGGTAGCGCCATGTGTAACTTCTTACCTTCTAGAATAGGCATTATTAACCTTTGATATAAAATGTTTATGCGTAAAGTGTAATAATAAAAGGTCAGATAAGTAAAATAAGTAATCTTAATATTATAATTTGTTCTAGAAGACTAGAGAGTTTCCTAACATTTTAAATTGTTGTGAGTGCGAATGTTTATTTAATGCCATAACAATTGTTATCTGCGATGCTTTTTAAAAAGTTGAATTATTTAAGAATTTTTGCTGTACATGCTCCAGATACTGTTCTTAAATTTTAACTGCATGATGTTCTAACTGTTGAGTGTTGTTCTTGTAATTATGTAAAGATGTAATTAGTTAATCGGTAATTATATAATTAGCTAATTGGTAATTATGATAATTTTAACTAAAGGCAACTTTATATGTGCTCAGCTATGTTTTGTTCGACAAGCTCCATGATATACATTTTAATCGTTTTAATGAGATCTAATCTTGTGTGAGTTTTGAGTTTGAATTGATAACACTTATTATATTTATTATTTTTTGAGTAAACATTGGCTGGTACTTCGGGCCGGTCCCCAACAAAAAAAACTGATTGTCGAAATCCTTAAATCGACCACTTTTTCCCTATAACTGTTGATCTTGTAATTATGGAGCAGGCGACTATAAAACAAACAGCAACTCGGTGTTCAAGCAATAACACATAACTTGTTAGTAACATATTACATATTACTTAATAATATTAGCTACTAGTAGTAACATATTACATACTACTTAATAATATTAGCTGCTAGTAGTAACATGCTACATATAACATAATATTAGCTACTATTAGTAACATACTACATATAACTTAATAATATTAGCTACTATTAGTAACATATTACATACTACTTAATAATATTAGCTACTATTAGTAACATACTACATATAACTTAATAATATTAGCTACTAGTAGTAACATACTACATACTACTTAATAATATTAGCTACTAGTAGTAACATATTACATACTACTTAATAATATTAGCTACTATTAGTAACATACTACATATTACTTTAATAATAGTATATAACTAAGACAGCCTTAACAAAAAACAGAACACTTCTGCACATTTAAAATTTGTGTCTTGTGACGTCATATAGATAGAATGTGTCGTCATAGATATAACAGAGCCGCGATAAATTACAAATCTCCAATTTACCGGACCGAGCGTGTATTTTATACCCTCTGTAGTAGGCCCGGTATATCGAGGGTTCGTATTTAATATCATGACGTCACAGTACGAATATGACGTCACAAGTGTTGCACGTGACGAGGTAATTACCTGAAGTAGACATATTTGTGAGATAAACCCAGCTGTACTATTGAGCTTCTTGCGAGGCGAGGCCGAGTCACCCCCACACGGCATTTCCTAATTTATAGCGGCTTTAATCCCAGCTAATTAGTTAATTGTAACTAATTAATTCTCAATTCATCACACAATTGATTCATTTAACGATGCTGAGAATAGCTAAAATAGCAGATTATTGCAGCAGCAAAGAAGAGAATCAAAATAAATATAAAGAAACCACAAGAGGTAAGAATGAACTGCAAGAGAGAATATTAATTATAGAGAGTATGTGCTGCCCATATAGTATCACTGTCACACACTGAACTTTTAACTTTTTACAATGTGGATTTTTCTTAATTATAATCACAAACGTACAAATCACATGACCACTATAACTAATCACTATTTAAACCGATAGAAAGTTCCTACAACGGTCACATGACAGGTACAAAGTCACGTGACAGTACAAACCAGTCACATGACATTACAAAGGTACACACATAAAGGCGCTCAGCAGGACTCTTACCTCGAGCTCCACAACTCTGTTCTTGAGGTCAATGTTAGGGTTGACGACAGCAGGGTTAGCTCGCTGTTTGGAGAGCTGGAGCTGCAGATTGTTGTTGATACGGTCTCTGTCTTCTATCTCCTTCTTCAGCCGAGATACCTCCTGACAAATAGTATGGATAGAGGAAAGGAGAGGAGTAGCGTAGTTAATGTTAGAGAAAAGGAGTATACGATGGTTAATGTTTAGAGACCTGGATCACTGAGGAATGAGGATTGGGGAATCAGGATAAAGGCCTCAGGGCCCCAAGTTATTTTGGAGCATTGAAATTGAATTACGTTTACAGTTTTCTTTAACCAGTATGATCATGTAATTAGGTGGTCTTCTAGCAGTAAGAGAAATCATTACTCAGACAACACGTGTCCAGGTCTTACGACGTCATAACATGTCAGGAATGTGTTATGACGTCACGTGATATAACGTATTATCACGTGTGATACATGATGAGTGACTTACATCTGATCTGGATTGACTCAGGTTGGAGAATGTAGCTATTTGGTTGCTCAGAGCCTCTCTCTCTTGTTGGTGTCTTTTCTCCATGTTCCTAATCTCGTGTGTTAACTTCACTTTATCGTCACTGTGTTATTTAGTGTCATTTAGTGTTATTTAGTGTTATTTAGTGTTATTTAGTGTTATTTAGTGTTATTTAGTGTTATTTAGTGTTATTTAGTGTTATTTAGTGTTATTTAGTGTTATTTAGTGTTATTACATAATTTACACTCAGAGGGTGTAAGTAACAAATAGACCGGGCAGTTTTACTGGGTGTTCACAGTAAAGTAAGCAAAACAATTACCTGTTATCAATCATGTCTTGTTTGACCATGGTGATAGTGTGTTCCAAATCAGCGATAACAGCCTCGGCTTCTTTAACTTTCCTCCGCAGACTATCCTTAGTCTCCCCAGTGCTATTACCAGTCACCCAGTTATCATCTCCTTCTTTACTGCGCAGTATCGCTAGCAGGGTCTGAGAGTGGGAGGTTAGGGCACGTGGTGTGACGTCATGTCACGTGGTGTGACGTCATGTCTTAAAGGAAAGTAATTCAGGATTTAACACATAATTTTTAACTTCTTGTACTGTATAACTACTTTTCAAAACAACCCAATTTTTACCTCGATGTCGTTCTCAGAAAGGTCGGCTTGGTCTACGATCTGGAACAAGTTTTCAGCTTCATTCTTCAACATTGTGGACTTAGACTTCTTAGACTTCTTGGACTTCTTTTCTGAACACAGATCAGAGGGTTAGAGAATAAAAAAAGGTTTAGAAGTAAACAGAAAACAAAATTGTCCACAAATTTACATCCTAACAAACTAACCTTCTAATTAAACTCTCAATTATCCTCCTTAATTAACAAATTAACCTCCTAACCTCCTAGTTTAACTAACCGGCAGCAGGTCGGGCAGGTGCAGGTACAAAAACAGGTTCAGGTACTGCGTTGACTAGCTCAGCCTCTTCAATCTCAGCTACAGGTTCAGGAGTATCTGGTCCAGATACTGCCTCCATCGCTTCCTCAATCAGAGCTTCTGGCTCTTCAACTTCCTGAGATTATCAGACAAGTTTACTTTAAAGCAAGAAACATTATAATATGTTAGTAACTGTGTTAGTAACTAGTAAACTATGTTAGCAAGGGAGATTCAGAAGGGAGAATCTGATTTCTCTAAGAGTAAACAATGTACAATGTACAATGTACTATGTACACACTACACACTGCTAGTTTCCCACAACTAACCTGCTCCTCGACTACCTCCTCTACCTCAGCTTCTTCTTCCTCCTCTTCCTCTTCTTCTTCCTCATCTACCTCCTCCTCAGCTTCCAATTCTGCTTCCTCTTCTTCTTCAACCTCCTCCTCCTCCTCGGGTTCAACCTCAGGTTCTTCAACAGGTTCTGCTTCCTCTGCTGGGATCTCCTCCTCTTCAACTACCTCTGGTACTTCTTCTTCAGCTATTTCTAAAACCTGAAGTTTCATTTATTACTTGTCTATTCTAGTCGCCAATATTTCTGACATTATGAAATATTTACCAGAACAACATTAGCGTTACAAAAATGTATGATGTCACCTGTAACACTGACAGTGTCACAAGTTGTCACTGTCCATGACAGTGTTACACTGTCATGGACAGTGACAACTTGTGACATGACACATTAATAAATTCTGATAGCTGAACTCACCTCTTTCTCCTGTTTCTTCTTCTTATTTTTCTTACTCTTCTTCTTGGGCTGATCTTGAGGTTCTGTCATGGTCAGTGGAATGAGCTCAGGTGCAGGCACCTCCTCAGCTGTGACTATATCGTACTGCCCTTCATCTTCTTCTACTGTATCTTGCTGAAGACAAGAAGATATGTTAAATGAGGCAAAACAAGAGAAGTCTAAGAGTTAAATTATAGAAGTTGAGAACATATTCCTTGTCATTAAGGAAAACAAAATTTACTCATATCATGTCATTAAAACGACAGCAAACTTAATAAACAAAACCAGTGCAGCTGCTCCTAATTGGTTTTTAAAATCACTTAAATATTGCACTTTGATTGACTTGTTTCTAAGAAATAACATACCTGTTGTTCCTGAGTCTTGTTCTTCTTCGTCTTTCTGCGTCGCACCTCTTTTTTAGATTTTTTGTTATTAGATGAGGACTTTGTGTGTAGGGGTTGAGGCTGTTGTGTGGCCATCTTGCTGTAGTCTTCATAACTTATCTCTTTTTGAGTGCTGAATACTAACAAGAGGACACTGAAATAGGTACATGGTAAATTTATGTGTACTTGATAGTCCTATTTAGGGCTAAAAGAGCTAATACAGTAAAACCACGATTTACCTTACACTTTGGGGAAAGGAAAATAGTTATTGTAGTAATCCTACCAAGGATAACTTGAATGATAAAAGAGGTTAAATTGTTGCTACCTAACAAGGATAACTCCAGCAAGTGCTGCAACACCATAAGGTGTGACCAGGTAGGTGCTGGCCATCTCCATGTAGGGTGACACAGCTTCCATCTCAGCCTACATTGTCAGAGGACGTTATTACATTACAGTTAACTTTAAGTTAAACATAATTTTAAAGTTTCCAAGGAAGGATCAAGTTGGCATATCAAACTAGTTGCATTGTCAGAGATATAATACAAACAAAAACATGTACTTGGATAAGTTTAAGTTTAGGTCCAGAGAATCAAAAATAATTGGATCTATTAATCAGGTATAAAATTAGCATAAAATTGATAACTTCGTTTTACTTAGATAATCAGAGAAAAGCCCCTGTCTTCGGTGCACTTCATGACCACAAACATGGGCAATTGTCTGGTAGTAGCTTAACAAATCACCGTTTTCTCAACTGCTGATGGGAGGTATCCCATTTGTACCTAAGCTGGTTTACGGACAAAATGATCCCAGGGGAACTCCCAACCCAACGCTTAGGCAGATAGTTGATGCACATTTTAAAAGCAAGAGCCACTTTGGTATACTCCCTATGAGGTGTTTCAGTAACATGGGTTGGGGCCCCCTTTAGATAAGAAAGAAAGGAAAATAAAGAAAAGCTGTTGAGGTTGTATTTGCAGTTTCAGACAAACTCAAGGATAGAGGCACCAATAATGCTATTGCAAACTTTCACCAGAAAGAAAAAGTGGCATGTTCTAATCTCTGTTACTATACAATGCAAATGTATGTTGTAGGCTCTTTATAATTATTAAATCAAAAGAGCAAATAATTTAACTTGTATCAGCCTCCCCTTTATGAATTATATTGTCGAAGAGATGCAAAGAGTGATACATCACGAACCAAACATAGAAGATAAATCTTATGTATGGAATAGTTTCAGCAAGGCAATAACAAAGAAAGCCATTTTTAATTGCATCTAATTTAAAGCCGTATTAATCTAGGAAAACACAATGCGAGAACAATATGTGAAGGATCGATCATCGAACGTTTAATATTTCTTTCGACTCATCCATTAAATGGGAAGGCATTTTGTGAGACTTCGGAGAGTTTATTCCAAGTGTCCTTGACCACACTTTTGAATGAATTCTTTGATGTCGCCCGATCCTGCTCCTACTACCTACGCAAGAATATACCATTATCATCAGCTAACTTACTTATTGCTCAATGTACAACCCAATTTGAACTTTAGGCCTAAAGAATGCAATGTACAGGTCTCTACAAGTTTCAACACTCAACCTGTCCAGTACAGTGTGATCTACTGTCATTAGTAATGCATCGCGTTTTCACATACAACATAGCCATGTGTACGTCTACGCGTACTGCGTGACGCTCTGCTGCAAGCGAGAGGGCTCTGGTTAGAGCAACATCGCGTTGACGGATTTAACTCGTTTAAATTTCTTCGAAGTAGCGTGCGCCGCTTTCTTCTCGATTTCTTTTCTTGCCCGATGGCAAGTGCTACGAAGTAGCGCGCGCCGGGCCAGACCATTAACAATGGTCAATACATTGCGCTACAACACATTGCGCTACAATACATCGCGCTACAAGCATTAACTTATTATATATATATTAAAAGTTACTCATTTTACTGATTTGTGATTTGGTTTGGGTGTTAACTTACCCAATTCAATCAGTCCACCAATTTATTGTGATTTAAACTTGTTTCTTCAAAGTAACGCGCGCCGCTTTTTTTCTTAAATTGTTGTTTTCTTGACGCTAGGTAATTGGCAACGTGCTTTTAAATAGTGTATGCTGTCGTGCGCTGCTTAGTTAGTCGATTATTAACAGGTGATGCTCGTAAAATATTTGTTTCAAAAACCGTCGACGAGTCCAACTTTGTAGCGCGATGCACTACTGGGTCGCGCGCGCGCATCCAATAATGCTTCTCGCAACCGTATGCAGATCGGCGAGATGCGAAGGATTGACATCGTGAATCAAAGTCCAACTCAGCGCGCGTCCTGGTAGGTTATAAACCTACAACATACAAGTTAAACTTAACACTATACTAGGCTTGCTGCGCTAATCTAAAGCTAGATCTATTGCTTACTTTTCTCACTTGGATGACTTCGCCGCTACGACAACGACGCGCCGCGCAAACTAGCATTTTTGCTTCCCATGATCGTCGATCGTTGCTTTGCTTCGCAAAGCAACGATCTCAATACAATGGGTTGACATTGTCAATCAATTTTCTCACTCATGTAAAAGAAGCTTATAAAAATAAAGCTGCGCACGTCATTGCACATTGGTCATATCAGGGATCGGGGTGCCAAGTAATTAACACTGGACAAGTCCTAGTCGTCAATTAACGGGTGATACTCGTAAACTATTTGTTCCATATATTAGGACCGTCGGGCGTCGACGAGTCCAACTCGGCGCGCGTACCCTGGTAGGTTGTAAACCTACAAGTTATCATGTCACTTACCTGGGGACCCCTTGTATCGCGTGGTGACCCTTCACATAGCCATGTGCCTACGCGTACTGCGGTCGCGCGCTACTGCAAGCGAGAGGGCTCTGGTTTGATTCACGATGTCAATCCTTCGCATCTCGCCGATCTGCATACGGCTGGTTGCGAGAAGCATATTTGATGCGCGCGCGACCCAGTAGTGCATCGCGCTACAAGGCTCTGGTTAGAGCAATGGTGACCCCCACGGTCGTTTCACACTGTATCGTCTTCGACGATACATGGGGAGCCGCGCACTTCGTGCGCGGCGGGTCATACAACGTATGACAAGGGACCCCAGGCTATTATGTTCATTAACATAGGGATTAGGCGGAATGACAGGCTGAGCGCGGCCCAGTAACCCCCCGTAAGCATATGAAAATCCCCTCCCCTTCGTCTGATTTGTATCACGTGTGACCCCCTGTATCGTCTTCGACGATACAGGGGGAGCCGCGCACTTCGTGCGCGGCGGGTCATACAACGTATGACAACGTCTGATTACGTAATATAATTATATGAACGACCCCAATGGACCTCGCCGCGAATAATTAATAACGCTTCTTCATGCAATCAGAAGAATCAATGTTTGATGTTAGATCTCTCTGGACTCTGCTCTCGAGTGCACACAGGTTGACCATTGTCATGTTAATGGTCTGACCCGGCGCGCGCTACTTCGTAGCACTTGCCATCGGGCCATTTCGAGAAGAAAGCGGCGCGCGCTACTTCGAAGAAATTTAGACGAGTAACATCCGTCAAGCACACAGGCTATACTGGTTCCGTAACTAACAAATTAAAAGGTAGTAGCTGAGAATTTAATAATAATAGCAGTTGCAGTATTTCTAATTTCTAAGCGTAATAAATAAACTGTAAACATTTGATCAGTATATTACCTGGGGACCCCAGGCTATTATGTTCATTAACATAGAAGAATAGAGATTAGGCGGAATGACAGGCTGAGCGCGGCCCAGTAAATCAGTATAATAATATCATTATTCTGTTACTAATATTATAACATAATTGTAAACTTCGAGTGTGTTTAATCACTTAATACATGTTACAGTCTATTTTGAATACGAGAATTTTCTAAAATATTACCTATCCTTTCAGTCAGTCTCTGTCTATCGCTCGATTGTCTCTCAAGAAGCTTAAAAAGAGTACCGCGCATACAGCATAGCCATAGGGAATGGTGCGCCAGGTATTATCCAAATGTAATCTAAAATAAGGCATGCGCCCCTGTTTTGGTCACGTGACAAGGCCATACAAGAATTTAGTTCAAATTTCTTGCTATGGTTTTGGCAACTGTTTGGGTTAGGGATTGGATAGGCTTAAAGTTATTGTTAAGGTTGGGTTTATAATAGAGGTTATAATGGTTTTGGATGGAGGATTATCGGCGCTCCCACTATAACATTGCTCGCCCAAATTTTAAGAAAATTCTTGTGAAAAGGCCCTAAGGGTATGAACGTTAGGGTTATGGATAGCTTTGGGGTTATGGTTAGGATTAGGGTTTATGTAAACAGTAAAACCGTTTTGTTCTGCTGCATGCTGCAAAACCAATCGGTCATCAGTCAGAGCAGAAAGAACAGTCACGTGATAACGAGCGTAAAGTGATTAATCATCACCCAATAACATTTAACATAAAACCTAACAATTAAAATCTGAGGATAATTTATTATTGAATAAAACGAACTAGGATATAAACTAATACAGTAAAACCCTGGTTTAAATCAGGCTTCATTTCGTGGGAAAGGATAAATTATCCGTTCATTGAATAGAACTAGATAATTTAATGATTTACCAGTAAATCAATTTCGGGGCTGCAGTATAAAATCCCACTGCAAAACAAAACCAAAACGAGGGTCACGGTCGGTCGAAGTTATACTGTCTCTAACTCTAACAAATACAAATAAAGTATAAAATAAAACCTATTTACAATCACTTCAATCAATTTATATAATTTACAGTTTAAAATATCGAATCGGTATATCATGACTCATTTCCAATTACAAATTATGCAATTATCTCATGTGCTCTTTTATTCACATGTGCTCTTTTATTTACATGTACACATGTTATTTACATGTTATTTACATGTTATAATTTACATGTTATTATATCTTTATATACATGTACACATGTTATTTACTGTAACCCCTAAAATAAATTAAAATCACGACCACTTCTCAATTTGTCTCAATTTGGCCAACAACTGAATTGTGAAAATATTGACACGTGACACTACTGTTTAGTTTTTATTGACTTTAACATTCTACTGACTTTACCAAAACCCTACGCTACAAAACAATAAGATAACTGTCACCAAGATGTTACTAGGTCGAACGGGGAAATTAAGTATCACGCAGGAATTATGTCTCACGCAGGCGCTTGACCATTGTTAATGGTCTGGCCCGGCGCGCGCTACTTCGTAGCACTTGCCATCGGGCCAATATTTCGAGGCAAATATTTTGGGCTAATATTTGGAGAAGAAAGCGGCGCGCGCTACTTCGAAGAAATTTAGACGAGTAACATCTGTCAAGCAGGCGCGTGCTATACATGTAAATACACTTAAAAGCCGTGCCTGCTTGAGACTTAATTCATGCGAGAGACCTAATTTTTCCGTTCGACATAGTTACATCTTGGTGACAGTTACAAGCTGTGTTTTCAGGTTAGTGTTTCCTCTGTGTTTGACGTAGTAGTATTACCATCAGAAGTAGTAATATTACCATTAGGTAACGGCTCTTCAGCAACTCGTATTCTTCCGCATACTACAGGACGTAATGTTTGGATCTGAGCCTCAACTAATTCGTGATTCTTCCTAATGAGAAACTTTGTTACATCTTTATTAATTAGGCAAGCTGTCAAAATATTGTGTGGAGAGGGGATTTGTGTTTATTATTATTCAATTTATGAGTAATAATCATTAAGATTCTACACATAAAATTAAATACAAATATTTACACATATTTACACATATCTACATTTTACACATGTTAACACATATTTACACTTTGCACATGTTTATGACTATTAAAGATAATAACCGCAGAAATTACGCTAGAAAGATCACTTAAAACATACATTTACACCTAGAAAGTGAGGAGAAATAAAACAGTTGAAGTAAAGATCAGGACTTAGAGTTAATTGTTGAAATTTCAATTTGAGAACACGGGACTCGCCATTCCTTGGACAACAATCACAAATTCACATTTTTGTGTACATCACAACGTCAAATGACAAAGAAAAGTAAGTTTCTATTGTATCACATGTACAAGGTGTGGCAAGGTCTCTATTGTATCACGTGTACAAGGTGTGGCAAGGTTTCTATTGTATCACGTGTACAAGGTGTGGCAAGGTTTCTATTGTATCACGTGTACAAGGTGTGGCAAGGTTTCTATTGTATCACGTGTACAAGGTGTGGCAAGGTTTCTATTGTATCACGTGTACAAGGTGTGGCAAGGTTTCTATTGTATCACGTGTACAAGGTGTGGCAAGGTTTCTATTGTGTCACGTGTACAAGGTGTGGCAAGGTTTCTATTGTATCACGTGTACAAGGTGTAGCAAGGTTTCTATTGTATCACGTGTACAAGGTGTGGCAAGGTTTCTATTGTATCACGTGCACAATGTGTGGCAAGGTTTCTATTGTATCACGTGTACAAGGTGTGGCAAGGTTTCTATTGTATCACGTGTACAAGGTGTGGCAAGGTTTCTATTGTATCACGTGTACAAGGTGTGGCAAGGTTTCTATTGTATCACGTGTACAAGGTGTAGTAAGGTTTCTATTGTATCACGTGTACACAGTACAAGGTGTGGCAAGGTTTCTATTGTATCACGTGTACAAGGTGTAGTAAGGTTTCTATTGTATCACATGCACAAGGTGTGGCAAGGTTTCTATTGTACCACGTGTACAAGGTGTGGCAAGGTCTCTATTGTATCACGTGTACAAGGTGTGGCAAGGTTTCTATTGTATCACGTGTACAAGGTGTGGCAAGGTTTCTATTGTATCACGTGTACAAGGTGTGGCAAGGTTTCTATTGTATCACGTGTACAAGGTGTAGTAAGGTTTCTATTGTATCACGTGTACACAGTACAAGGTGTGGCAAGGTTTCTATTGTATCACGTGTACAAGGTGTAGTAAGGTTTCTATTGTATCACATGCACAAGGTGTGGCAAGGTTTCTATTGTACCACGTGTACAAGGTGTGGCAAGGTCTCTATTGTATCACGTGTACAAGGTGTGGCAAGGTTTCTATTGTATCACGTGTACAAGGTGTGGTAAGGTTTCTATTGTATCACGTGTACAAGGTGTAGCAAGGTTTCTATTGTATCACGTGTACAAGGTGTAGCAAGGTTTCTATTGTATCACGTGTACAAGGTGTGGCAAGGTTTCTATTGTATCACGTGTACAAGGTGTAGCAAGGTTTCTATTGTATCACGTGTACAAGGTGTGGCAAGGTTTCTATTGTATCACGTGTACAAGGTGTGGCAAGGTTTCTATTGTATCACGTGTACAAGGTGTGGCAAGGTTTCTATTGTATCACGTGTACAAGGTGTGGCAAGGTTTCTATTGTATCACGTGTACAATGTGTGGCAAGGTTTCTATTGTATCACGTGTACAAGGTGTGGCAAGGTTTCTATTGTATCACGTGTACAAGGTGTGGCAAGGTTTCTATTGTATCACGTGTACAAGGTGTGGCAAGGTTTCTATTGTATCACGTGTACAAGGTGTGGCAAGGTTTCTATTGTATCACGTGTACAAGGTGTGGCAAGGTTTCTATTGTATCACGTGTACAAGGTGTGGCAAGGTTTCTATTGTATCACGTGTACAAGGTGTGGCAAGGTTTCTATTGTATCACGTGTACAAGGTGTGGCAAGGTTTCTATTGTATCACGTGTACAAGGTGTGGCAAGGTTTCTATTGTATCACGTGTACAAGGTGTGGCAAGGTTTCTATTGTATCACGTGTACAAGGTGTAGCAAGGTTTCTATTGTATCACGTGTACAAGGTGTGGCAAGGTTTCTATTGTATCACGTGTACAAGGATTACACAGGATTACATAGGATTACACAGGATTAAAATTAAATTATAGATCCATTATCATGGACCGTCATAATTGTTTACAGAAGTTAATGAAAACAATCATCTTTGCTTGAAGTCAGGGCCAGGGTTATCCATGAGTCTTAAATATGACTAATTCGCGAGGTTCTCACCAAATTGATAGTAAAATTGTTTAAGTTTCGTGCATTTGAATTACGCTGACGCGTATCTTCGGTGAAGCTATTTCGCTCTTCGGAGCAGCGAAGGAAAAAAGTGCACACACAGTTGACAGCATAGGAGCGCCTTTCTTGAAATTGAATATACTGTGGGGTGTTTGGTTGAATATCAAGTGATATGGAGGCTCTGGTGATTTTGAGGAATTACAGTTGAGTAAGGAGACATAATTTCCATGAGATGATCTTTGAGATTTGTTTCATTGATATTGCTGGAGTCGGTGATTTCATTGCTTATTTCAATGATTGGCATTTGAGAAAGATTTTTGACTAATTTCGACCTCTGTTTTGAATACAAGTCACATATGTAAAGAACATGCGACTCGTCTTCGATGGTCTCAACGCCCATACTTGATTGGCACCAACCACATAGTCTTTGCTCACGGGGTGTGTTGGAGTGTCTGCCTCTTTCAATATGGAGATCATGTGCGCTGATTCTAAGTTTTGTGGTACTGTAACGACGAGAAAAGCCTTTGCATAAGTATAAGTAGGGCTCTCGGTTGAAGGTGTGTTTGATTGAGTGATAGAATGAAAGTTTAGAAGAAGTAGATTTTTGATATTGCCAACATTTTTTGAATTGATTGGTTAGAGCTTCGATGATTTTAGGAATTCTATACTTTTTGCTGCATAGTGGTTTGATGGATTGACTAAAATTTGACTGATTTATGAGGGAGTCTTTTAATAATTTGTGATCACTTACAGGGTTGGGCGCGGCTTTGTTAGCTGCATTTGTATTGAGAATTCGGTGCGCAGTTACGTGATCTAGTTTGTAAATTTCATCTAGTTCAAGGAGTGGTTTTATGTATCGATACCAAGGTAAGTTTAGTGATTTTTGTTCTTCTACGGCTGCAGTGACAAACGAATTCGACTTTGATTTTGTATTTAGCCTTTTGAAGTAATTTAACGTTAAGCGAATTGATTGATAAATCAGAGGAATTCTTCCTGTTTCTCCCCAAACACCTACATTTGATGCTTTACGATGGACTCCCAATGCCCATTTTAGGAATGAAATATGCACTCTTTCTTCAGAGAGGCGCTGATTTTTTTAAGTAAGTTAGTAGCGGTTGCTTCTGTCGAGTTAATCGTTTTGCAAAGAGATTTATTGGTCGTACTAGTGGGTGTCCATATCGGAGCACCATATAATAGAATGGGCTTGATGAGAGAGTCGAACAGTGTAAGGAGTGCTTTAAAAGATAACTTTGAACGCATGACAACGTTGTGTGGTAAGGTTTCTATTGTATCACGTGTACAAGGTGTAGCAAGGTTTCTATTGTATCACGTGTACAAGGTGTAGCAAGGTTTCTATTGTATCACGTGTACAAGGTGTAGCAAGGTTTCTATTGTATCACGTGTACAAGGTGTAGCAAGGTTTCTATTGTATCACGTGTACAAGGTGTGGCAAGGTTTCTATTGTATCACGTGTACAAGGTGTGGCAATGTTTCTATTGTATCACGTGTACAAGGTGTGGCAAGGTTTCTATTGTATCACGTGTACAAGGTGTAGCAAGGTTTCTATTGTATCACGTGTACAAGGTGTAGCAAGGTTTCTATTGTATCACGTGTACAAGGTGTAGCAAGGTCTCTATTGTATCACGTGTACAAGGTGTAGCAAGGTTTCTATTGTATCACGTGTACAAGGTGTAGCAAGGTTTCTATTGTATCACGTGTACAATGTGTGGCAAGGTTTCTATTGTATCACGTGTACAAGGTGTGGCAATGTTTCTATTGTATCACGTGTACAAGGTGTGGCAAGGTTTCTATTGTATCACGTGTACAAGGTGTGGCAAGGTTTCTATTGTATCACGTGTACAAGGTGTGGCAAGGTTTCTATTGTATCACGTGTACAAGGTGTGGCAAGGTTTCTATTGTATCACGTGTACAAGGTGTGGCAAGGTTTCTATTGTATCACGTGTACAAGGTGTGGCAAGGTTTTTACATTTCCTTTCAAAACATTGCTGGTATAAGTGTTATTAATCTTTGTTTGTTTTCATTTCTTTGCTTTATTTCACTGCTCAAGTGCTCAAGCTACAGTTACAATACCTTTTCACTCACAGTTACATTGCTTTATTTAACTTACAGTAACATTGCTTTATTTAACTTACAGTAAGATTGCTTTATTTAACTTACAGTAACATTGCTTTATTTAACTTACAGTAACATTGCTTTATTTAACTTACGGTAACATTGGTTTATTTAACTTACAGTAACATTGCTTTATTTAACTTACAGTTACATTGCTTTATTTAACTTACAGTAACATTGCTTTATTTAACTTACAGTTACATTGCTTTATTTAACTTACAGTAACATTGCTTTATATAACTTACAGTAACATTGCTTTATTTAACTTACAGTAACATTGCTTTATTTAACTTACAGTAACATTGCTTTATTTAACTTACAGTAACATTGCTTTATATAACTTACAGTAACATTGCTTTATTTAACTTACAGTAACATTGCTTTATTTAACTTACAGTTACATTGCTTTATTTAACTTACAGTAACATTGCTTTATATAACTTACAGTAACATTGCTTTATTTAACTTACAGGTAGCACTGGGGTTCTAAGCGTGAGTATCTTCGTATACTCGAACCATTTGCAAGATGCGGGAAGCTTAAACAAATGGAATAATGTAAGGTAAGGTAAGTTTAAACAAATGGAATAATGCAAGATGCGGGAAGCTTAAAAAATGGAATAATGTAAGGTAAGGTAAGTTTAAACAAATGGAATAATGTAAGGTAAGGGAAGTTTAAACAAATGGAATAATGCAAGGTAAGGGAAGTTTAAACAAATGGAATAATGTAAGGTAAGGTAAGTTTAAACGAATGGAATAATGCAAGGTAAGGGAAGTTTAAACAAATGGAATAATGTAAGGTAAGGTAAGTTTAAACGAATGGAATAATGCAAGGTAAGGGAAGTTTAAACAAATGGAATAATGTAAGGTAAGGGAAGTTTAAACAAATGGAATAATGTAAGGTAAGGTAAGTTTAAACAAATGGAATAATGCAAGGTAAGGGAAGTTTAAACAAATGGAATAATGTAAGGTAAGGTAAGTTTAAACGAATGGAATAATGTAAGGTAAGGGAAGTTTAAACAAATGGAATAATGTAAGGTAAGGGAAGCTAAAACAAATGGAATAATGTAAGGTAAGGTAAGTTTAAACAAATGGAATAATGCAAGGTAAGGGAAATTTAAACAAATGGAATAATGTAAGGTAAGGTAAGTTTAAACAAATGGAATAATGCAAGGTAAGGGAAGCTAAAACAAATGGAATAATGTAAGGTAAGGGAAGTTTAAACAAATGGAATAATGCAAGGTAAGGGAAGTTTAAACAAATGGAATAATGTAAGGTAAGGGAAGTTTAAACAAATGGAATAATGCAAGGTAAGGGAAGTTTAAACAAATGGAATAATGTAAGGTAAGGGAAGCTAAAACAAATGGAATAATGTAAGGTAAGGGAAGTTTAAACAAATGGAATAATGCAAGGTAAGGGAAGTTTAAACAAATGGAATAATGCAAGGTAAGGGAAGTTTAAACAAATGGAATAATGTAAGGTAAGGGAAGCTAAAACAAATGGAATAATGTAAGGTAAGGGAAGTTTAAACAAATGGAATAATGCAAGGTAAGGGAAGCTAAAACAAATGGAATAATGTAAGGTAAGGGAAGTTTAAACAAATGGAATAATGCAAGGTAAGGGAAGTTTAAACAAATGGAATAATGTAAGGTAAGGTAAGTTTAAACAAATGGAATAATGCAAGGTAAGGGAAATTTAAACAAATGGAATAATGTAAGGTAAGGTAAGTTTAAACGAATGGAATAATGCAAGGTAAGGGAAGTTTAAACAAATGGAATAATGTAAGGTAAGGGAAGTTTAAACAAATGGAATAATGCAAGGTAAGGGAAGTTTAAACAAATGGAATAATGTAAGGTAAGGTAAGTTTAAACAAATGGAATAATGTAAGGTAAGGTAAGTTTAAAGAAATGGAATAATGTAAGGTAAGGGAAGTTTAAACAAATGGAATAATGTAAGGTAAGGTAAGTTTAAACAAATGGAATAATGTAAGGTAAGGTAAGTTTAAAGAAATGGAATAATGTAAGGTAAGGGAAGTTTAAACAAATGGAATAATGTAAGGTAAGGGAAGTTTAAACAAATGGAATAATGTAAGGTAAGGTAAGTTTAAACAAATGGAATAATGTAAGGTAAGGGAAGTTTAAACAAATGGAATAATGTAAGGTAAGGGAAATTTAAACAAATGGAATAATGTAAGGTAAGGGAAGTTTAAACAAATGGAATAATGCAAGGTAAGGGAAGTTTAAACAAATGGAATAATGTAAGGTAAGGTAAGTTTAAACAAATGGAATAATGTAAGGTAAGGTAAGTTTAAAGAAATGGAATAATGTAAGGTAAGGGAAGTTTAAACAAATGGAATAATGTAAGGTAAGGTAAGTTTAAACAAATGGAATAATGTAAGGTAAGGTAAGTTTAAAGAAATGGAATAATGTAAGGTAAGGGAAGTTTAAACAAATGGAATAATGTAAGGTAAGGTAAGTTTAAACAAATGGAATAATGTAAGGTAAGGGAAGTTTAAACAAATGGAATAATGTAAGGTAAGGTAAGTTTAAACAAATGGAATAATGTAAGGTAAGGTAAGTTTAAACAAATGGAATAATGTAAGGTAAGGTAAGTTTAAACAAATGGAATAATGTAAGGTAAGGTAAGTTTAAACGAATGGAATAATGTAAGGTAAGGGAAGTTTAAACAAATGGAATAATGTAAGGTAAGGGAAGTTTAAACAAATGGAATAATGCAAGGTAAGGGAAGTTTAAACAAATGGAATAATGTAAGGTAAGGTAAGTTTAAACAAATGGAATAATGTAAGGTAAGGTAAGTTTAAACAAATGGAATAATGTAAGGTAAGGGAAGTTTAAACAAATGGAATAATGTAAGGTAAGGGAAGTTTAAACAAATGGAATAATGTAAGGTAAGGGAAGTTTAAACAAATGGAATAATGTAAGGTAAGGGAAGTTTAAACAAATGGAATAATGTAAGGTAAGGGAAGTTTAAACAAATGGAATAATGTAAGGTAAGGTAAGTTTAAACAAATGGAATAATGTAAGGTAAGGGAAGTTTAAACAAATGGAATAATGTAAGGTAAGGTAAGTTTAAACAAATGGAATAATGTAAGGTAAGGTAAGTTTAAACAAATGGAATAATGTAAGGTAAGGGAAGTTTAAACAAATGGAATAATGTAAGGTAAGGGAAGTTTAAACAAATGGAATAATGTAAGGTAAGGGAAGTTTAAACAAATGGAATAATGTAAGGTAAGGTAAGTTTAAACAAATGGAATAATGTAAGGTAAGGGAAGTTTAAACAAATGGAATAATGTAAGGTAAGGGAAGTTTAAACAAATGGAATAATGTAAGGTAAGGGAAGTTTAAACAAATGGAATAATGTAAGGTAAGGGAAGTTTAAACAAATGGAATAATGTAAGGTAAGGGAAGTTTAAACAAATGGAATAATGTAAGGTAAGGGAAGTTTAAACAAATGGAATAATGTAAGGTAAGGGAAGTTTAAACAAATGGAATAATGTAAGGTAAGGGAAGTTTAAACAAATGGAATAATGTAAGGTAAGGGAAGTTTAAACAAATGGAATAATGTAAGGTAAGGGAAGTTTAAACAAATGGAATAATGTAAGGTAAGGGAAGTTTAAACAAATGGAATAATGTAAGGTAAGGGAAGTTTAAACAAATGGAATAATGTAAGGTAAGGGAAGTTTAAACAAATGGAATAATGTAAGGTAAGGGAAGTTTAAACAAATGGAATAATGTAAGGTAAGGGAAGTTTAAACAAATGGAATAATGTAAGGTAAGGGAAGTTTAAACAAATGGAATAATGTAAGGTAAGGGAAGTTTAAACAAATGGAATAATGTAAGGTAAGGGAAGTTTAAACAAATGGAATAATGTAAGGTAAGGGAAGTTTAAACAAATGGAATAATGTAAGGTAAGGGAAGTTTAAACGAATGGAATAATGTAAGGTAAGGGAAGTTTAAACAAATGGAATAATGTAAGGTAAGGGAAGTTTAAACAAATGGAATAATGTAAGGTAAGGTAAGTTTAAACAAATGGAATAATGTAAGGTAAGGGAAGTTTAAACAAATGGAATAATGCAAGGTAAGGGAAGTTTAAACAAATGGAATAATGTAAGGTAAGGGAAGTTTAAACGAATGGAATAATGTAAGGTAAGGGAAGTTTAAACAAATGGAATAATGTAAGGTAAGGTAAGTTTAAACAAATGGAATAATGTAAGGTAAGGTAAGTTTAAACAAATGGAATAATGTAAGGTAAGGTAAGTTTAAACAAATGGAATAATGTAAGGTAAGGGAAATTTAAACAAATGGAATAATGTAAGGTAAGGGAAGTTTAAACAAATGGAATAATGTAAGGTAAGGTAAGTTTAAACAAATGGAATAATGCAAGGTAAGGGAAGTTTAAACAAATGGAATAATGTAAGGTAAGGGAAGTTTAAACAAATGGAATAATGTAAGGTAAGGGAAGTTTAAACAAATGGAATAATGTAAGGTAAGGTAAGTTTAAACAAATGGAATAATGCAAGATGCGGGAAGCTTAAAAAATGGAATAATGTAAGGTAAGGTAAGTTTAAACAAATGGAATAATGTAAGGTAAGGGAAATTTAAACAAATGGAATAATGTAAGGTAAGGGAAGTTTAAACAAATGGAATAATGTAAGGTAAGGTAAGTTTAAACAAATGGAATAATGTAAGGTAAGGGAAATTTAAACAAATGGAATAATGTAAGGTAAGGGAAGTTTAAACAAATGGAATAATGTAAGGTAAGGGAAGTTTAAACAAATGGAATAATGTAAGGTAAGGGAAGTTTAAACAAATGGAATAATGTAAGGTAAGGGAAGTTTAAACAAATGGAATAATGTAAGGTAAGGTAAGTTTAAACAAATGGAATAATGTAAGGTAAGGTAAGTTTAAACAAATGGAATAATGTAAGGTAAGGGAAGTTTAAACAAATGGAATAATGTAAGGTAAGGTAAGTTTAAACAAATGGAATAATGTAAGGTAAGGGAAGTTTAAACAAATGGAATAATGTAAGGTAAGGGAAGTTTAAACAAATGGAATAATGTAAGGTAAGGGAAGTTTAAACAAATGGAATAATGTAAGGTAAGGGAAGTTTAAACAAATGGAATAATGTAAGGTAAGGTAAGTTTAAACAAATGGAATAATGTAAGGTAAGGGAAGTTTAAACAAATGGAATAATGTAAGGTAAGGTAAGTTTAAACAAATGGAATAATGTAAGGTAAGGGAAGTTTAAACAAATGGAATAATGTAAGGTAAGGGAAGTTTAAACAAATGGAATAATGTAAGGTAAGGTAAGTTTAAACAAATGGAATAATGTAAGGTAAGGTAAGTTTAAACAAATGGAATAATGTAAGATAAGGTAAGTTTAAACAAATGGAATAATGTAAGGTAAGGTAAGTTTAAACGAATGGAATAATGCAAGGTAAGGGAAGTTTAAACAAATGGAATAATGTAAGGTAAGGTAAGTTTAAACGAATGGAATAATGCAAGGTAAGGGAAGTTTAAACAAATGGAATAATGTAAGGTAAGGGAAGTTTAAACAAATGGAATAATGTAAGGTAAGGTAAGTTTAAACAAATGGAATAATGTAAGGTAAGGTAAGTTTAAACAAATGGAATAATGTAAGATAAGGTAAGTTTAAACAAATGGAATAATGTAAGGTAAGGTAAGTTTAAACGAATGGAATAATGCAAGGTAAGGGAAGTTTAAACAAATGAAATAATGCAAGGTAAGGGAAGTTTAAACGAATGGAATAATGTAAGGTAAGGGAAGTTTAAACAAATGGAATAATGTAAGGTAAGGGAAGTTTAAACAAATGAAATAATGTAAGGTAAGGGAAGTTTAAACAAATGGAATAATGCAAGGTAAGGTAAGTTTAAACAAATGGAATAATGTAAGGTAAGGGAAGTTTAAACAAATGGAATAATGTAAGGTAAGGTAAGTTTAAACATATGGAATAATGTAAGGTAAGGTAAGTTTAAACAAATGGAATAATGTAAGATAAGGTAAGTTTAAGCAAATGGGATAATGTAAGGTAAGGGAAGTTTAAACAAATGGAATAATGGAAGGTAAGGGAAGTTTAAACAAATGAAATAATGTAAGGTAAGGGAAGTTTAAAGAAATGGAATAATGTAAGGTAAGGGAAGTTTAAACAAATGGAATAATGTAAGGTAAGGGAAATTTAAACAAATGGAATAATGTAAGGTAAGGGAAGTTTAAACAAATGGAATAATGTAAGGTAAGGGAAATTTAAACAAATGGAATAATGCAAGGTAAGGGAAGTTTAAACAAATGGAATAATGTAAGGTAAGGTAAGTTTAAACAAATGGAATAATGTAAGGTAAGGTAAGTTTAAACAAATGGAATAATGCAAGGTAAGGTAAGTTTAAACAAATGGAATAATGTAAGGTAAGGTAAGTTTAAACAAATGGAATAATGTAAGGTAAGGTAAGTTTAAACAAATGGAATAATGCAAGGTAAGGGAAATTTAAACAAATGGAATAATGTAAGGTAAGGGAAGTTTAAACAAATGGAATAATGCAAGGTAAGGTAAGTTTAAACAAATGGAATAATGTAAGGTAAGGTAAGTTTAAACAAATGGAATAATGTAAGGTAAGGTAAGTTTAAACAAATGGAATAATGTAAGGTAAGGGAAGTTTAAACAAATGGAATAATGTAAGGTAAGGGAAATTTAAACAAATGGAATAATGTAGGGTAAGGGAAGTTTAAACGAATGGAATAATGCAAGGTAAGGGAAATTTAAACAAATGGAATAATGCAAGGTAAGGGAAATTTAAACAAATGGAATAATGTAAGGTAAGGGAAGTTTAAACAAATGGAATAATGTAAGGTAAGGGAAGCTAAAACAAATGGAATAATGTAAGGTAAGGGAAATTTAAACGAATGGAATAATGTAAGGTAAGGGAAATTTAAACAAATGGAATAATGTAAGGTAAGGGAAGTTTAAACAAATGAAATAATGCAAGGTAAGGGAAGTTTAAACAAATGGAATAATGTAAGGTAAGGGAAATTTAAACAAATGGAATAAGGTAAGGTAAGGGAAATTTAAACAAATGGAATAATGTAAGGTAAGGTAAGTTTAACCAAATGGAATGATGCAAGGTAAGGGAAATTTAAACAAATGGAATAATGCAAGGTAAGGGAAATTTAAACAAATGGAATAATGTAAGGTAAGGTAAGTTTAACCAAATGGAATGATGCAAGGTAAGGGAAATTTAAACAAATGGAATAATGCAAGGTAAGGGAAATTTAAACAAATTAAATAATACAAGGTAAGGGATATTTAAACACATGGAATAATGTAAGGTAAGGTAAGTTTAAACACCCTAAAACAGGTAGAATTGGCAGCGTCTAAACACTCTAAAGGTTATACATAAGAGACTTTAAGTTAAAAGAACTATAAAAGGTTAATAGTAATTAACCAAATTATGATATTAGGGTAACAATGAGGAAAGAACTAAAAACGTACTACATCGATTAACAGATTATTTAACTTACTCCATAAGTAGAGAATTCTGACGATGTATTGATTTCCTTTTCAGTAATTGTGGAGCTTCTGTTCTGATCTTTCTGCACTCTTTTTGCCTGAATTTAATATGTTAAAAGTGAGGTTGTTTGTGAAAATAAAAGTTTAAATTTATTATAAGTAAAACCAACCTCTGAACTTCCTCAAAATGGTTAAGAATAAGAGTGTCTGATAAAAATAAAACCAACCTCTGAACTTCCTCAAAATGGTTAAGAATAAGAGTGTCTGATAAAAATAAAACCAACCTCTGAACTTCCTCAAAATGGTTAAGAATAAGAGTGTCTGATAAAAATAAAACCAACCTCTGAACTTCCTCAAAATGGTTAAGAATAAGAGTGTCTGATAAAAATAAAACCAACCTCTGAACTTCCTCAAAATGGTTAAGAATAAGAGTGTCTAAAATTGGCCCGTCGTCGTCACCTCCAATTCTGGGACACTCTAAAAATACAGTATAACCGTCTTTACCGCGTGAAATGTACTCCTTTACTGCTACTTTGTAGATCTGTGGGAGAATGACTGAATGAGGCGTTATCAGTATATGGAAAGATAAGAAATATGGTGAAGAGTGGGGAGATAAGAAATATAGTGAAGAGTGGGGAAATAAGAAATATTGTGAAGAGTCAGAAGATTAGAAATATGGTGGAGAGTGGGGAGATTAGAAATATGGTGAAGAGTGGGAAGATTAGAAATGTGGTGAAGAGTGGGGAGATTAGAAATATGGTGAAGAGTGGGAAGATTAGAAATATGGTGAAAAGTCGGAAGATTAGAAATATGGCACTGAAGATTGGGGAGATTAGAAATATGGTGAAGAGTGGGAAGATTAGAAATATGGTGAAGAGTGGGGAGATTAGAAATATGGTGAAGAGTGGGGAGATAAGAAATATGGTGAAGAGTGGGAAGATTAGAAATAAGGTGAAGAGTGGGAAGATTAGAAATAAGGTGAAGAGTGGGGAGATTAGAAATGTGGTGAAGAGTGGGGAGATTAGAAATATGGTGAAGAGTGGGAAGATTAGAAATATGGTGAAAAGTCGGAAGATTAGAAATATGGCACTGAAGAGTGGGGAGATTAGAAATATGGTGAAGAGTGGGAAGATTAGAAATATGGTGAAGAGTGGGGAGATTAGAAATATGGTGAAGAGTGGGAAGATTAGAAATAAGGTGAAGAGTGGGGAGATTAGAAATATGGTGAAGATTTGAAAAACGAAAGTTTCTTCATTAAGTAGCACATATTATATTAGAGAAATATACGATTTCCCAATTCACCATAGAAAACTTTTGACAAATAACTTAAAACCTACTCTCTGAAGGTCGAGGGGCTCAGCCAGAACGTAAACAGAATCTTGTAGAATTCTACTGCCGGGTTCTCTCTTAGGTTCAAACCTGAGGTTAACTGTTAGATTCACAGCTCGCTAATTTATATTGTGCTATTACGTGAACGTGATATCATTTATCATTTATCACCAAATCCAATCAAATGTGTCAGCGACTCAGCTAGGAGTAACGTTCAATTTCAAACATTACAAGTGACATGACGCCACACACCATTTATTACACATTTGCATTCGTTACACTTTTAAAGCTCCTCGATTTACCACTGTCACCGTGACGTGGTTGTTGCTTTTAATCGCTGGCGTGGCCAGTATTGTGGCTGGAACTGGTCCTGCCCCTCCGCCTAACCCTATCTCTAATTCTCTGGACATATTGGAACTGGAATTGGGACTGGATTAGGGACTGGACCAGAAACAGTCAAATAAACCAAAGGCCATCACGGAGAACGGGGTATACATCCTGGATCAAAGGAAAAAGAAATGTACTTTACACTACATCGAGGATTTTATTGACTTCGATGCCGCTGAACGGCTGCTTAGTGAGCTGAATGTTGATATATCGAATTACCCTAACCAAACGAGTAGCCGTCAAGAGATAAATCTGGAGATCGAAGATGATTGCGTAGAGTCTGAGGGTCATCCAGATGACTCGACCCCGGAGAGTAACCTTAGAAATCAGATCAGCTACCTCACCAAGAAAATCGAGAAATCAGCGAGCTCAATATTTGAACTTAATACAACTATCACCAACATAGTAATCAGGCGACTCCCAAGTTATAACGATCATATCCCCTACGAAACACTAGCTGGAAAACATGGGGCGAAACCCACAGTTGCCATTCTTTCCCTTGGGGCCCCAAGATCACTCAAACTGAAACGGGGAACTAAAGTAACCCATTTGGTGCCCATGCACTCAGGATCTCTGTGTGTTCTCTCAGGAAATTCCACTCTTGAGTACATGCATTCCATACCTAGAGGAAAGAGTGATATTCAAAACGAACAACTTCTTCTTTTTTTCATTGGATCTCCTTCAACTGCGATCGAGGAAAATTGTGTAAGTGACCAGACCTCAGTCTCATCTCTGTCAGAAACGGCTCCCTCTCAATCTTCTACAGATGGTGGATTTAGTGTAGATGACCCTTTCAGACCTGACTTTATTAACTTAGAAATAGATAATGGACTACAAATGACCCTTAACAAGACGACGGAGATACCTGACATTATTACACATCAGCAACTTCAAGGATCTAATGTAGATGATCCCTTCAGACCTGACTTTAACTTAGAAAAAGATAATGGACTACAAATGACCTTTAACAAGACGACGGATATCCCTGACATTATTATCACCTCAACCAGCGGTCCTGATATCAAACTGACCGAAGCGCAGACCTCTTACTTAACTGAGCAAGGCAGATCTAGTTTGTTGGATAGTAATCCAATCCTCAGGTCGCCCTCTGCGTCACTTCATCTGGATGTTAACAAAGATGATCTCAACGTTGGCCCTGCAACTCCCGAAGACACCGAAAGGACAGTTATTCTTATGGAGAACCACACGGTCGCTCCCGAGACACTTATTACTTGTGTTGCTCATCTTCCTGAACCCATCCTCAACGAGGAACTAACGAGGAATGGGTGCTCCACAGAAGGATCTGTTACAGAAAGGAGAGCAAGAATGATGAATGTGATGTCTAGACCCGAAGAACCAGCAAGGAAATCTCTGAATAGGGACTTAGATTCGAAACTCCCCTCTCTCGCATGGGTCCAGACTGTTATCGAAAACCAAGTTATTGACGTTAAGCAGGAGTTGGAGAAACTTACATCTGAGGTTAACAGCCTTAAGTGCTCCGATACTAGCATCCAGCAAATCGAAAAACTACTAGAGGTTGGCAAGAAGGAAATGCAAAAGGTCAAAGACCTCTGGGAGAAAAACTTGTCAGCTACCACACGGATCAAAAACAGAGTAGACGAAGTTTTCACGGAGATTTCTATAGCGGAAACGAAAACGGACGAAGTAGACAAAAGTGTTCAAAAACTAAAGTTTGACCTCAAAAACTACTACAACAGTGCATTCTTTCGGGAAGACGGACAGCTGATTAAAGAAATTCACAAAATAGTCACTCAGTCAGAAGGATGGAATGGCGTGAGTACCGATGTCCCACCTGACTATTCCCCTAATGACGATGATTTATCACACACTCCACCCTACCAACCTCCCTCACCCTTTCGAGATCAAAGAACTCACAGTAGAGAAAACAACCTGCTGTCCCGAAGAAACAATGGATTCAGCATGACTTCCTCGGCCTCTCGAGCTCAGATCTCTACTCAAGCTCAGAACTCCAACTTTACCAGAACTCAGAACCTCAATTTCACCAGGACTCAGAACTCCGACTTCACCACTCGTCAAACTTCAGGATCCACCACACCCTCAAAAGTGTTCAAGACGACCCTCATCTCAGACTCAATCCTGAGACATGTCCAGGGTATGGACACCAAGAATGCTCTCGGAAAGAACCATGAATTGACCCTAATCAACAAGCGGGACACAGGTGGACTTAAAGACCAACATGTCAAAGACGAATTATTAAGAACACAACCTGATTTCATCTATGTTCACCTAGGAGTCAATGATGCCAACCAAAACTTCGACCTAAGGGTAAGTCTCGACAACATATTTCAATTTTCACTATTCGTAGAGGAATCCCTGATAGGTACAAAGTTATTCTTCTCAATGCCGCTAATGACATCTGACAATGAAGCGAACGCAAGGATTGGGGAGATAAGGGATGCAATTTGGGAATTTGTGACCGTAACTAATAAAAACGAACGCAAACCCTTCAAAGAGCGGTCTTTGTATTATAACCCCAACGCAAACTTCATGCATGATGATCATCTGATAGGAGAATATCACACGAACGATGGAGTCCACCTTTCAACAAGAGGCAAAGAGGTCATTCTAGGAAACTTCCGTCACAGCATCCATGAAATGACAAGACTGCTTCTCAACAAGCCAAAGAAAGTCCGTTCTACAGGGGGATTGGAACCTTCTCCTCTTAGTCGAATGTGATTACACTGACATAGATTCTCATTTATACACATTATACCATGACTAGAAACACACAAAAAAATACACAGGTTTCAATTAATAAAAATAGCATAAAAATACTTTCTTGGAATATCCAATCGCCTTCATCAGTAGATGGGAGCAAATTTGAAATAGAATCATTTCAAAATGTTATCAAAGATCATGACATAGCCTGTCTTCAGGAAATTAGGAGAGAGGTTCACTTGGTAGGATATCGATCAATCTGCAACATAAGGAAAGACGGTAAATCAGGAGGTGTCGGTATCCTCATTAAAAATGAGCTTATTGAAGGGATTGAGTTTATCAAGAATACAGAGTGTTCAGACTACCTAGTTTGTCGACTAGACAAGGATTTCTTTAACCTATCAGAAGATACATTTATAGTTAACGTTTACATTAGACCATTTAATTCATCAGCCTCAAACCCGACTGACAATGGCAAAGATGCTCTAAAAAACATTGAAGACGTTGTGAACGAACTTCGGGAGGAGGGCGAAGTCATATTGTGTGGGGACTTTAACTCTCGTATAGGACAAAAAACGGGTATGATAAGAGAAGACTCAACCAACGTTGTTCCCTTACCAGACGATTATGAGCCTGACAACTTTCTCCCCCGAAACTCACTAGACTCTATCACAAATACTTACGGTACACACTTTCTTAACCTAGTCAAACATAACCAACTCACTATTCTGAATGGCCGTACCCTAGGAGATCTTGTAGGAAACTTCACAAGTATCCAAAAAAATGGGTGCAGCGTTATTGATTACATTGCAGTGACCAACTCCACAAAGATCAGAATCAACTACTTCAAAATCTTGACATTCACCGAGCATTCTGATCATAAGCCCCTCAGTACTGAATTACAATGCAATAGATTCGCGATCAACAAATGCGCCCCATTACAGGACACTTATCAGACAGCGCCAACCAGATACATTATCAACGAAGAGAACAAAGACGACTTTTTCGAAGCTCAGTCAGAAAATCTATCATTGACCTTAATCCATGAACTTCAATCGAACATCGACTTACTCACCAATCAAAATATTTTAGCAGACAATGACCGTAATTATGAAACTGAACTCAAAGACATTAACAAACGACTTTCAGAACACCTTCGCGACATGGCCTCGAAGTGTTTCAAACAAACCAAACCACCCAAAAAATCTCACACCTCAAACAAACCTTGGTTTAACTGGAAAACGAGATTAGGTAAAAGAGAATTTCGTAAAGCTACAGATGCAACCTCAAAATTCCCGTCAAACAACCTTATACGTGAAAACTATTATCTTGTCAAGGGTAGCTATAAGCGTTTGAAGAACTCTGCCAAAAACGAATTCTTCGCACGTATGAATGAGGACATAGAGGGGGGGAAAATTCTCAACTGGCAATCTTTCAAAAAACTAAAAAATCAGAAAAAGGAAACTTTAAATTTTGACAGTCATGATATGAATAGATTCGAGACTTTTTTTGGTAACCTATATTCCGATAACCACAAAACAATAAATGAAAATAAAAAAGTTTCTATGATTGATCAAGCTGACTTGATAAATCAAGGTGCAACTCATCCTGAGTCACTCAACTCCTTAATCACCAAAACAGAACTTGACTCTAGTATAAAATCCCTAAAAAATGGTAAAGCTTCCTCACTCGACATGATTAATAACGAAATTATAAAATCTCTGGACACCAATCATAAATTGATTATGTTGAACCTCTTCAACGCCTGCTTCTCACAAGGAATTTATCCCTGGAACGTCAGCATTATATCTCCACTTCATAAAAAGGGTAATAAATCAGATCCTGACAACTACCGTGCAGTTGCTGTCAGCAGTGTCATAGGAAAACTATTTTCAACTATTCTCTTAGAACGACTCATTCGCTTCCGCTCTGAAAACTGCCCTGATCCACCTAACCAACTAGGCTTCACAAAGAAAGCTCAAACATACGATCACATACTAACCATGAAAACTATAGCTTCAAAATATAAACTTTTGGGGAAACCTGTATATGCAGTATTTGTTGATTTTAAAAAAGCATTCGACTCAGTCTGCCGTCAAGCCCTTTTCCTCAAACTCGCAAAAAATGGCATAACTGGAAACTTCTACAATGTCCTCAAAAATATGTACTCAAACTCGTACGCTTACATAAAATTATCTGGTCACCTCAGTAAACGCTTCCAGATACGTAAAGGTACAGAACAAGGTCACCCACTCTCACCTGATCTTTTTAAAGTTTTTCTCAGTGATATGTCCTGCCTCCTAGATTTTCCAAATTGCCCCGTACTCTCAAATTTGACTGTTAGCCACCTACTGTGGGCGGATGACCTTATACTCCTTTCACTCGACCAGGAAACCACTCAAAAGCAACTTAATATTCTCGGTAATTTTTGTAAGGAGTGGGGCATTGAAATCAATGAACTCAAAACTCAAGCAGTCATCTTTGGTAAGAAAACGTTAAAACAGGACATACAAAACATCAAATTTACACTCAACGGATCTAATCTTGAAATTGTTGACAGTTATTGTTACCTTGGATTTGAACTTCATCAATCGGGTCAAGTACAGATCGCTCAACAAAACCTTAAAACCAAAGCAATGCGTGCATTTTTTGGCCTGAAAAGGGTTGTCATGCGTTCAAAGTTATCTTTTAAAGCACTCCTTACACTGTTCGACTCTCTCATCAAGCCCATTCTATTATATGGTGCTCCGATATGGACACCCACTAGTACGATCAATAAATCTCTTTGCAAAACGATTAACTCGACAGAAGCAACCGCTACTAACTTACTTAAAAAAATCAGCGCCTCTCTGCAAGAAAGAGTGCATATTTCATTCCTAAAATGGGCATTGGGAGTCCATCGTAAAGCATCAAATGTAGGTGTTTGGGGAGAAACAGGAAGAATTCCTTTGATTTATCAATCAATTCGCTTAACGTTAAATTACTTCAAAAGGCTAAATACAAAATCAAAGTCGAATTCGTTTGTCACTGCAGCCGTAAAAGAACAAAAATCACTAAACTTACCTTGGTATCGATACATAAAACCACTCCTTGAACTAGATGAAATTTACAAACTAGATCACGTAACTGCGCACCGAATTCTCAATACAAATGCAGCTAACAAAGCCGCGCCCAACCCTGTAAGTGATCACAAATTATTAAAAGACTCCCTCATAAATCAGTCAAATTTTAGTCAATCCATCAAACCACTATGCAGCAAAAAGTATAGAATTCCTAAAATCATCGAAGCTCTAACCAATCAATTCAAAAAATGTTGGCAATATCAAAAATCTACTTCTTCTAAACTCTCATTCTATCACTCAATCAAACACACCTTCAACCGAGAGCCCTACTTATACTTATGCAAAGGCTTTTCTCGTCGTTACAGTACCACAAAACTTAGAATCAGCGCACATGATCTCCATATTGAAAGAGGCAGATACTCCAACACACCCCGTGAGCAAAGACTATGTGGTTGGTGCCAATCAAGTATGGGCGTTGAGACCATCGAAGACGAGTCGCATGTTCTTTACATATGTGACTTGTATTCAAAACAGAGGTCGAAATTAGTCAAAAATCTTTCTCAAATGCCAATCATTGAAATAAGCAATGAAATCACCGACTCCAGCAATATCAATGAAACAAATCTCAAAGATCATCTCATGGAAATTTTGTCTCCTTACTCAACTGTAATTCCCCAAAATCACCAGAGCCTCCATATTCACTGCCACCGCTCACTTGATATTCAACCAAACACCCCACAGTATACTCAATTTCAAGAAAGGCGCTCCTATGCTGTCAACTGTGTGTGCACTTTTTTCCTTCGCTGCTCCGAAGAGCGAAATAGCTTCACCGAAGATACGCGTCAGCGTAATTCAAATGCACGAAACTTAAACAATTTTACTATCAATTTGGTGAGAACCTCGCGAATTAGTCATAATTAAGACTCAAGGATAACCCTGGCCCTGACTTCAAGCAAAGATGATTGTTTTCATTAACTTCTGTAAACAATTATGACGGTCCATGATAATGGATCTATAATTTAATTTTAATCCTGTGTAATCCTGTGTAAATCCTGTGTAATCCACCACGTGACATGACGTCACACACCACTCGACATGACATCAAACACCACGTGAAATGATGTCACACACCACGTGACATGACGTCACACACCACGTGACATGACGTCACTAACTCACTGGAATTGAACTCCTGAGAGCTGCGGGAATCTGCCCTCTAACTCTGGGTATTTAGATACTCCGTTCTCTAAAGCCTTCAGCAGCTGGGACCCTGTGTAACAAGGAGTAATTATAGGCAACTATAGGTAATTATAGGTGATTATAGGTAATTATAGGTAATAGTTAATAAACTAACTCAAATTAGTATTTGTCAGTATAAACAGTAAAATCATTTGGTTTACCTATTAAAATTTGTAAAATTATCTTAATTCATCATACATCTTTAGAACAATGAAATATACCACGTGACATGACGTCTGACCACGTGACATGACGTCACACATCAAGTAAGAGCTTACCTGTGCACTCTAGAAGAAGAAGCTCGTCCATTATCGGCAGAATTGCTGATAAATCTCTCATTCGGAACTTTCCTGGAGGAAATATACAGTCTGATCTCATCGTTCCGCTGTGGATATAATTAGGCGATAATTATGTGATAATTGGACGATAATTGGACGATAATTATGTGATGATTAAGTGATAATTGGAAGATAATTAGGTAATAATTAGGTGATAATTGCTTTTCAACTTTTTGATTAATTAATTGATTGATCACCTGTTAAGTATGGCCACATCTGCTCGCAATGCAACTCTCATAACATCGGTTATAAAATTACCTGTCGAATAACAAAATCGTTAACTTTCATCAATTATCATTGACAATATCCACTATCCACTAACTTAAAAAGTATGCTTTTGTATTAAACGTAAACAACTGAATAGCTTAGTTAATATTTATCATAAATTTACTTAGTTACATAAAGTAAGTGAATCAATTAAGTAATTAATTGAAGTTAAGTTAAGTTACCCATATTAGTTTCTTTAGTCCTGACTTCACTAAATCTTGTTTCCAAGGGAACCCCAAACTCTCCTATTATTTTATCCATTTGAGCGCCTACTTTTTCTGTAAAGAGTAGCGGTTATAAGTGTAATTATTAATTAAGGCTCTCCTCGTTAAGAATACGAGTGAATTAACAGCAAACACATAAGATGTGATAACTAATTAAAGGAAGAAGTTTGCGGAGGAGAAAGTTTGCGGAGGAGAAAGTTTGCGGAGGATAAATAGTTACCTTGGTAATCAGCCACGTGCAGTTGTATATTCTCGTTCTCAGGAATCTCCGAAGTGATGATAACTTTCTCTACAATTGTTTTAACCTGGTATTGTTCAGGTCATGTGTACGGGAGTGGTTGATGGTCGAAGCTAATTGGTTATTTTTTGTCACGTGTCAAAAATATATGCCTCACTTCCCCACTAAAATTCACATTTATAAATATTACAACGATCCAACGCGATCTATTTCCTAAATATAATACCTTATTTTCAGAGTCGATTACTAAAGTTACTTTAGACAGTTCCCTGAAATCTGTGCCACTCTTGATAATCGTTCTGTTGTTTACCTTTTGAAGTTGATAAAGTTAAACCAATGCTAGAAAATAAGTAAATTATTTCGTACTGGAGCTAGAGGGTGGTTCTTGATTAAGAGTGATTAGTGTATTAGAGTGATACGGAAGTGTTTATTAGCATGAGATTTCAAAATACATGCAGTCATTTTGCAGCGTTTCAACAACTATTAAGAGTACACTAATATTCTGTTTTCCAGTGCATGTGTTATTATACCAGGCCATATGGTCCAATCAGAAGCTCTTAATAGCTCCAATCAGGACGCGTTTCCATGGTTACCTGTTCAACCCCGTAGTTATGGTCATGTCCTCCTAAAATGAGGTCCACGTGTTTTGCACAAGCTGCCAGTCTCCGGTCATTGTTCCATCTCATGTGAGTCAGCGCCACCACCAGGTCAACTCCGTGTTCTTCTTTCAGGATACTTCCTGCGACAATCATCTTAGAGAGTTACCGCTTTCTGCTGCAGTGGTCAGTCGCTGTCATGTGTCAAAACAAATTTGTACCAAGTTCTGCCAGTTTTGGAGCACATTAAGATTAAACAAGTGTTAACAAATATTCTGTTCTGTCGGCTAATTGAGTTGATCCGCGTTTGAACACTAATAGTCAGAATCTGCTATTCGCATTTCGCTCAATGATTTAAAAATGATCGTTTATTCATGTAAACAGAAAAAGTCTTTCCATTCGGGCCGGTGACAAACGAGTCAAAGTTAAAATTTTTCTCGGCGGACTGAAGATGCGCGCGTGAAACCGCGTTTTACACTGCACTAAAAGCTTTTATTGCGACATTAACTACTGTTTATGTCAATGCGCGTGACGTTATATTCCAACAATCGACAGTAACTCAGAAGGACTCAGCCAGAAGGACTTTCGACAAAACTGTTTACTGTACCAAATGGAATGGTCGAAAATCGAGTGTTTTAGTGAATAACTTAGAATATATTTTCGATTTTCTCAAGATCTGACTGATAGATTTTCTTTAAACTTTCCAGATATTTATATGGCTATATGAGAGATAATATGTGAGAGTTTGGGAGAATTTATAGGTGCCAAACTTGAGATATGACTTCAAACACAAGAAAATATCTCAAATTGGCGGTTTCTAGCGGAACGCAGGCATATATTTATCAAAGCTTTCTTTGGGAATAGAACTTTTTGTGTCTTGCAGAAAAGGTTCCAAACAACACAATATTCAGGTCTGCCTCATTGATTAATTTATATTAATTAACTAATCGGTTTCTTAACAACTACAAACCATAATGATCGGCTGCTTCCACATAGTCTTGGTACTCTATCTCCGACATCTCAATCGTACTCAATGTTTCCATCCAACCTGACTCTACCAGTCCCAATACTCCCACCTGAAATTAACACGTGACTATCATGATTGATTAGTTATAATTATAAATAACTTCAATCAACTACCATGCTAGGGTAAATGTAACATGATATACATTATATTTGAATCTGAACTGGTTTTGAACAAATTCTTAACCGATGAGCAAAGAAAATGAGTGGAAAATATAGTAGACTGCTCCTTCATAAATTTTTGTAAAGACATTTTAAACCGTTTCAATGTATCGTGAACACCATGTATTAATGCTTTTCAATTTTCAAACAAAGTTACAACGAATTCTTCATGTAGTGCATCCTGGGTTTGGACAGGATATGCCTGTTTAAATTACATAATTCTCAATAAATGTAATAGATTTGTAGTGTTGTAATTCGTTGTAATAACCTTGATATCTTTGTACTGCAACACTAAGTACTCCATACCGTCCCCTAAGGGGCGATCTGTCTCCCTGGAAATTAAAAGATTTGTTAAATCAAGTTAACAACAATTTAGAGAATTTACCATTATAAAGTTATTACTTAATTACAAATAGTGATATGAGAGGTTTATATGAGACGTGTTTACATATTCTTAAACACATTCACACTGATAAACCTTGACGGTTAAGTATCAGGTTTCTATTCAGTTCCTCTTAGTAACTATGGTTATTATGCAATAGTTACTATAGTTACTATGGTTACTATGGTTACCAGGACTAAGGATACTTACTATTCAGTTAACCAGACCATATGATGTTAAGATTAGAAAATATCTCACTTCGAAGAATAATTTGTTGATGTCCACCAACTTTTCATTATTGATGACAAGATAAGAAGAATTGGTTGTTTTAAGAAGAATTGTGTTAAAAACTATGCAGTTAATTAATCAGTTGGAATTAATAAGTTAATTAATGACATCAACATGTTCTAATATCACACATGTATGGAACAGTAATTGAATATTCTTTTAATGCAGTAACAGTGCTTGTTGGTTAATATAGTGTTGTTGTAAAGGAATAATCTTAACGTGCAATAGTTCTACTGTTAATCACATTACATACAAATATGTACATATTATTATATAATATTTGTACATGTTCATGTTATTTGTTTCTTTAGGTATATTTCTTTCTTCTTTTTCCGGTCTCAAGTGATACCGACAATGGAGGTGCTTTAGATTGTAACAAACACTTTCAAGTTTTAAAACTATATTATTTATGTTTATTCAACACTGATATTAATATTGCCGCAAAAAAGAGTAGAATAACATAATATGTAAAGAAAAATCATGTATTATCAGTACAGTGACTTATTCAAAGTGCGCAAATTTGTTCTTTTGTTGTAATCTGAACAATGGATAAGCTTGTGATCGAAAGCGTTTCGTGAGTCATAAGAATAAGTACGAAGTGTTGAAACTTTTAAAATCGTGCACTAAGAGCGGGCGCTATTTAATAGCGTTAGGGAGTTGCATTATTAATTGGTAGTTGACAATTTAAATTTTTAGATACAATTTCAGTACAGTGAAACCTCTCCATGCCGGACTTCTCGGGAGAAATGAATGAGCTATCGAGGTTCACGGTATATAGAGATTCAGGGCATGTAGAGTTTTAAATAAATAAAATTTCAGTAAATTGGTAGTTGGTTTTTACTAACCGCTTATAATTTTGATTTGATAAATCTCTGAAATCATTGATATTATTCAGCAGCAGTGATCAACTTTTGAAAATACTGATTTAGGTTGAGGTATTAATTTCGGGCAGTACATTTTCTCTGCAACTTATTTGAAAGCTCTTACGTTTTTAAACATTATATAGTTAAATTATGAATTAATTATGGTTAAATATCAAATAATTAAACCCACTTGTCGATGACATTGGTCATCAACCAAGGAAAGTTACACGAACTCTTTAGCTCCATTAAGTCGTCCAGGCCAAAATCTGTGGGAATTAATAGGTCACAAAAACTAAGAATTTAGATAGATTAAATTCTACATACTTATCATAACTTTATGATTGAAATAATCCAGAATTGGTATAATCGTGTAAAAGCGCTCGTTTTAAGAACTTACTTGACATATTAAGTTTGCTCATTTAATAATAATTCTATAATCATTAATTTGACTTGCATTTCATAGTTCAAAATATAAAATTAAAATCTGGCTCAAACTATCATGTGATCATCCAACCGATATATCCACTCTACTAGCCCCTACAAATGGAAATAGAGTTTTGGCCCACCCTCAGTGGACTTATACTCACCAAAGTCGTGATTTCCATAAACAGCAGCAGCGATATTGCAAGCGTTAAGTACTGGAACCATCTGTACTCCTTTAAACATTGTGCTCACTGAGAAATAAATAAACTTTATTTACGGTAAATAAAATTTGTAGAACAGATAAGGTACAGTAACATACGAAACGAAACGAAACGAAACGAAACACTGTATTTACTACCCCGTTACTATGCGACAAAGATATTGTATAAAGATAACTAAATAATTAGATGTATCAAAATATTGGAACCAAGTGATAATCTGAAATTTTCAATTACTGACTTGGGGAGGGGTTGAAGGCATCTCCACTAAAAATTACTAACATCTCCTCCTCTGCTAAAATGTCTGATATCTTCTGAACAAACCTTGCCGCTCCCCCTACAGGTTCCTGATCTCGCGCCTATGCAATTTTACGTTAAGGATACATTATCGACATATTGGGTACATTTTAGAGACAACTTCATCAAGGCTCCAATTGAGCATTACTTTTTTACGAAAAGGAATGATATCGAAACATATGAATGAGACTTGTAAAAGATAAAATTACCTCAATGTTGTACACATCATTAAAATGAATAATTTTCACCACCCTCCCTCCATCCGGTTTTGATGTAGGAGAGGATCTCTCGTGTTGTGGATTACAGGATATGCCTGATCCCATGTTACAATCTACTGTAATCATTTTCTGCTTGTTAGTTTAATTAGTTTTAAAGATACACTTCAAATCTAACGGGGGATAACGCAGTACATATGTTGTTCCTACGTATGGGGTAGATTCTGTCTATGAGTTTTTCATCACTTCCTGACATGAGCCAGACCTCAGTTGGATCCTTTCCTTCCCTTTTTAGCTTCTGTGCTGCCTACTCTGCTGTTCTTGCACACCCACTCCTCAGTGGCCTGTTCACTTGACAGAGATACTGGCTGCCACTCCCAACATTATTCACCTCGCCACTACTGCTCAACGAAACATGCACTCAAGATCACTATACACTCACAATCATATAATCAAAACACAAAGCTAGGAAATATTTTTTTTGAATAACGTTATTTGTATATGTATATAGGTAACCGCTCTGACATGGTTAGTACCTGACACTTGTGTCAGTAGCTAACCATATGGGCGGTATACAAGCACATTACTTCATTTCATTCATTGTGTTCCAAATTATATTTTAAATGTTCAAAATGTAATTTTAAATGTTTAACTTTGGCAGACAAAATACTATACTGTAACAAAATTGATACTTTATGGTTTGAACCTGATAATGGATCATTCTTTCGGATTTGATTTTATTACCGCTGATCTGACATTTATATCTACATTTGTAAAAAAACAAAATTTTAAAACAAAATTTGATTTTATACCCCACAATCAATTCATATTTAGTTTGTATATTAAAAGTCAAAATAACCATTCCACAGAAGTGGTTTTATTATAATAAAATAGTTTGTGATATGTGTTCAAGAAATAAATTAATAAATTAATTTACGCTAAAAAATTTACAATCAAAAAAGTTTGGTTTACATTACTACAGTATACAGCGTACATGAAAAGATAACTTACTGAATTGTTTAATACTAAATACATATTAAGTCTGACGTGGTTCAATGAATTAGCCACGAAAATGTTCAAATTGTGTAGGAGGGTAAAGGACACAATTGCTAGTAATGCTTCTTTGTGCCCGTTGACTACAATGAACATTTTGTGGAGTTTCTCCAGACGGCTTTTATCGGAGTACGGGTTATTTACTAGGTTATGCACAAGCCAGGCCAACATTTTTGTTATTGTGTCAGCCACGCTACCAGGTTGCAGAGTATGTTCAATATTTAAAAATCATACACATTTACTAATATAAGAGTCCAATCTAGCTGCAAACATTAGACACCACGTTTAAGTGAACACCGAGACACGAGGTTTATGTGTCATTTTGTAAATCACTTTTATGGATGTATGATTTAGTAGTTGTTGTAGAAAAATCACAGTCACTGCCCCATATAGCGTTATGTCACGGGTCGGATTATCGGCCAAGAATAAACGTACGTGTACGCTATAGATACCCGTGCAAATGTTGAAGTAGTGAGTAGCTGCGGCGTGCTCAGTGGCGTAACAACCGCCCCTGCTAACCCTGCTAGCAGGGGGGCGGCACCTTAGGGGGGCGGCACCTTAGGGGAGCGGCATTTTCCTGGATTGTAGGTCTCATTTCACGGAAAAAGCGCCTTATTGGTGTACTACCCTGTCGAATTTATCGTTCAGTCGACGTGAAAAAAATATTTGGGGTACCATTGTTGCTTCAGGGGGCGGCAAAAAGGTGTAGGGGGCGGCAAAAAAAAGTACCCGACCTTTTTTTTTTTTTTTTTTTAGGGACACAAAATTTTAGGGGCGGAAAAGGGGCGGCAAATTTCAATCAGCAGGGGGGCAGCACAAAGTAACGTTACGCCACTGGGCATGCTTATAATATACAAAACTTGTAAAACTAAACAATAAGTCATTGAGATTTGAGTGTCATGGCTTATGATCTGAGAAACAATATGATACAAAAAGGACTAAAATTGACAAAGTTATCAAGCATTTTATTTATCTTGTTAGCAAAATTGATTGGGTTATCATATTTTGATATGACATCCTAATTGGATTTTTTGCCCGATTCTCATAGTAAGGATCTAGTGTCAACCCAATCATTTGTCACTTGATCCCACAACCATGTAATGGAAAAAAAACCATTTTGATTTATATATTACTAGCAGGAACCCGTCTACCCTAAAGTGGTGTCACGACTCGAGAGAATAAAATAATTATTACCTATTTAATTCGCGTTTTTGACACCACTTGGGAGTCCAAATTTTGGGCACTATAATTCTTATTCCTTGGCCAATTTTTAATTTTTTCATGCTGATTTGAAGGCCATTAAAGCATTTGACCCAGTCAAAAAAGTTTCAGTTGTATATCTTTTACGGTTTTTGCGGAAAGTCGCATTAAAGTTGATGCCCTGGTGTCAGTAAAATGGCACGGATCCATATATCCATATATATATATATCGTCTCGCTTTATATATAGTAAGATATCTCGGTCATCTAAGAAGCTAGAGCTTTTATTTTTTCAGGTAAAATGTAATTTTAATGTTAAAAACAACTCTCATTGGTCTGTGGGGTGCAAATGATGGTGTGTATATATTTTATTGTTTAAAGTATTGGTAGCAATATGGAACATCTCTGCGTTACCTAACCCATGTATTGTGCTTTACCAAAAGAAACACTTGATTTGACTGTGCTCTGGCGGCTCTGCATTACATTATATTGCATACATCACTTCATTTAATTGAATGTATATAATTTTTGAATGAATGAAATTTTAATATAATGGCAAAGCACAGTTATTTCTTCGTACAAGATGTAGGTTTACAACCTACCAGGACGCGCGCCGAGTTGGACTCAGTATGGAACAAATATTTTACGAGTATCACCCGTTAACGTACTTACCTGAGGACCCCAGGCTATTATGTTCATTAAAGATTTGGCGGAATGACAGGCTGAGCGCGGCCCAGTAATAACGTACAAGCAAAATATGAAAAAGGTTTTAAAAGTTTTTATAGTCGAAGTGCCTTTAAAGTGATTTTATATAAAAAATTCCTAATTATATATTTCCCAGCAGGGTAAATATGCAGTATTGAATATACAAAATTAAATTAAATGCCCAATTGACCGAGATAATAAAAAAGATTTTTAATCAAACAATTCTTTTTCCATTTTTCCAGCGAGCTATAATACTAAGCTGTTTGGTAACAATAAAAATTCAATACAAACCCGAATAACATATTTTATATTGATAGATGATACTTTGCTCTAACCACACAGGGGAGGCTGAAACCAGGTTTTCGATCAAATGCTGCCATTTGTAGTCAAACGTCGCCAACAGTTGCTCTCGTCCAATGAAATCGCTGCATTTTGTAAGTCAGTATGCATAATTGAATTACATATATTCATATGCTGAGCTTGGCTTACATAATGCAGCGATTTCATTGGATGAGAGCAACTTTTGGCGACGTTTGACTACACATGGCAGCGTTTGATCAAAAACCTAGTTTCAGCTCCCCCTGTGACCAGAGCCCTCTCGCTTGCAGTAGCGCGTGACCGCCGTACGCGCGCGACCGCAGTACGCGTATACACATGGCTATGTGAAGATGATACTTAATACTATTTTTCAAAGTAGCGCGTCTGCCGTCGTTTTTTCAAAATATTAGGCCGCGTCTATTGCTACTTGTAGCGCGATGCACTACTGGGTCGCGCGCGCATCAAATAATGCTTCTCGCAACCACTTCGGTAGATCGGCGAGATGCACCACTGTGCCTCACCGAGCTGCGAAGGATTGACATCGTGAATCAAAGTGCTACGAACTAGCTCGCGCGACGCTGGGTAAGTCTTAACGGGTGATACTCGTAAAATATCTGTTCCATATATTTTAATTGACGATGTCAATTCATGGCAGCTCGGCGCGGCACAGTAGCGCATCTCGCTACAACATATATTGGACCGTCGACGAGTCCAACTCGTTGTAGGTTTACAACGGCCTACCAGGACGCGCGCCGAGTTGGAACAGATATTTTACGAGTATCACCCTTGATTCACGATGTCAATCCTTCGCAGCTCGGTGAGGCACAGTGGTGCATCTCGCCGATCTACCGAAGGTTGTGTGGTTGCGAGAAGCATTATTTGATGCGCGCGCGACCCAGTAGTGCATCGCGCTACAAGTATCACCCGTTAACCAACTCGGCGCGCGTCCTGGTAGGTTGTAAACCTACATAATATATTTGTATACTTTGAACAAATATTTTACAAGTATTACCCATTAAATTATATTATAAATAAAAAATAGAATCCAAATTTTGTTCTCTTAATAAAGTTTTTATATGATTTGTTTTGTAGCACAATACACTGCTGATATATGCCGCGCCGCGCATCAATATTTTAAATCGTAACCACATTACCAGATCGTAGCAAAGGACTTTTGTGTACTGGGCCGCTACGAGCTGTTTAGTATAGGATTGATACCGTCAAAAATAAATTTCGAGAAACTTATTTTAGTAGTAATATATTAAATAATAAATATTAATGACGGTTTTCGTATGTTCATGAAGGATAGAGATTTTATGTTTTAGAATTGACAATTCCGCTGGCAATATAAGTGGCAGTGACACCCCGGCGAATGCCGCGGGCCTCATATTGCTGCGCGTGTTAAAACAAATTTTCGGCATAAATTTGTCAGGAGATCGACTGTAATTCCGTTTACGAACCTTTTAAAGATATTTGACAGTGCCGATTCTATCCCTTAAAGGATTTTCAATAGTGCCGAGGAAAAATAAAACATCGAATTCATTCATCTGAACATTAGTAAAGGTTATAATGATATCAAATCAAGATTTCAAACGCGTACAATCATTAACTCTAATTAAGTATTGTCAACTGTGATTAAAGATCATAGCAAAGTATGCTATCCTATATGTAAGCTACAATGAGGAAGAAACAGCATTATTGAATTGAAATAAATTTTCGTGCACATACAGAATGAATGGTTAATAATTTAATATATATGTAGACCAAGCTCTGTGCACGGGATGCTTCCTGGAAGAATCCAGTTCTTTTAGCGGGGCACCCTACCTAAAGCCAAATTGAGATATAATAAT